TGTACGTGATCAAAGCCGCATCCTCCAGACAAGGCAGCCGAGCATCTGCACTGTCCCAGGGCCGAGAGCCGTCTCCTCCCTCCTAAGCCCCGGGGTCTCCTGCTCCTGAGATGGCAGGTTCTTGTTTCTGCATCAGAATTTAAAATGCTTCCACCAAGTTTCCAAGGACTTTCATTCAGGTTTCAAGTCTCTCTCTTTCCTCTCTTCTGGTTCAACTATTTTATTCTCTGTTGTTGCTGAAAATGGCAATATTATTCCAACTGTGGCTCTGGCTGGAAGAACCCGCTGTCTAGTTCCCGGCGCCACCTCCGAGGGCCTGCCTGGGGCCCTCGGGGTTTCCCAGGAGGGCACAGCTGGGCGGACTCGAAAGTGGTGTTTCTTCGGAACCACTCAGCTGATAATCAAGGCCCTTGCGTCCTGTTCCTTCCTTTCATGCCTCTTCCCCTCCCCCATCCAAATCCAGTCGCCACGTGGCCATCTGCCCTATCAGGAGATTTGCTGGTCTGCTGGTCGCTGGCATCTAATTCCATCCCCCTTCCCATCTCGGCTGCAACCCAGTTCTGAAGCTGGGGCCTCTGCACCCCACCCCCACCCCTCCCACAGCCTTTAAACTTTCAATGGCTGTCCTCCACCCACACGATGTCCAGATTCCTTTGTGTGACTTCCAAGTCTGCTGTGAACTGGACCAGTGTGCCTCCCACCCCTTCCTGACACACCCCGTCCTGACACACCTCCATCGCTGGCAAGTGCTCATTGGTGTGTGCAGGTGAGGTGGGCCACGGTAGCAGCTGCCACTTCACCGTGGGCCAGCCTGGGCTACCGCAGCCTCGGGCTCCTATGCACCTTGGAAAGAGGCAGAGTGTAGACAGACGCAATAGAGAGATGCCAAGGACCGAGTCAGGGCTAGAGGAGGCAAAGGACCGGGAAGGGAGCCGGGATGGAGCTCGCACGCTGTTAGGCTGTGGGTCTGTTGCTTTGCTTTTCAGGCTCCTGGTTCTCAGCCTTGAAATGGGGACAGGGTGGGATCGTTTGGGACTTAGAGTTGTGACCTGGGAAGTGTGTGCTGCGGTGCCTGGGGCTTAGCCAGCACTGGGTACCCGGTGCAGTTCACGTTGGCAGATCAGCAACAGGGGGTAGAGGGCAGAGACCCAGCCTTAGTCAGAATGCTGACGTCATACCCACGATGACATCACACGGGCTTATCCTCCAGGAAGCTTCTCCTGAGCCCCCAGCTGGAAGAACTTGCAGCTGATGGTCGGATACTGACTTACAGGAAGCACAAGACAGCCACCTTCCTGAAGTGTACTTCCTTATCACTTAGCCCCTCTTGGACTAAGTACACTCCTTCTAGAAGGTTCAGCTGCCATTGCTGTTTTACCCAGGGAAACAGGGTTTTACTGCTGGAGGATGCCACTCAGGTGCAGCCGAAAGAGCATCACGTCTCTTGACTGAAGTTTGGGGACGCTCCCCGTTCTCTGTGATTGCGCTGAGCTGCTAAACCCGACCCATCACGGTGGTAACCAGCTCTTTCTCTCCCAGAGCTGACGGAGGGAGAAGCCACCAATTTCTCCTGTGTGACACACGTCCACCCTCTCCTCTGCTGTTTTATAAATGTGTCGTCTCAACTGTCTTCTAAGTGCTCATGCCTGGGAGGGCGCCTGCCTCTATTTCATGAAATGCCAAGTGATACCACTGTGATATATAAATAACAATAATTAGAAGACAGCCTCAAATTATTTGACATCCAGATTGAAGGGAAAAGTGGTACTTTTTTATAGAGATATAACACGCTAGAATTTGGATCAGAAATGGCATTAAAAAAAAAACCACACTGCTTCCTGTCAAACACGATGGCTCAGACCTTCTCGTTTGTGAAGCTGGACACAGGACACGGAGCCATCGGGCCTGGGTCCGCCCCAGAGACCCTCGGCCCTTCACCAGGTGCATTTCAGAGTCACAGGACTAAGCCCAGAGCAAAGAAGAGGGAAGGCTTTTTTTACCTGAAACTCCATAAATTATGTAACAGTCATTAAATCAGCATCACTTCCTACCGCTGGCCTTTCTTTTTAAAATGTCAAGAACGACGGTTTCCCGAATTTGGCTCATCCTGACTTGTCTGCCTTAATATCGCCTCTTAAATATGCGAGGAGTTTTTCCTCTGTTGTGGCTCCTGGTGGGTGAGATGAGACCGTCCGTTCACTTTGTGGAAGGAACTTAGGGCCAAGAACTAGGAAGGCGAGGGCCGATTCCCGCCTCGCCACACAGTAGCTCTGCGGCCGTGGGCGGCTGCTTATTCCCCAAAATGTGTGTCTCTGTATGTAAAATACCAGGAATGACCCCGCAGGGAGCACCCTGCCCATTCTTACATCACACTGTTCACATCCACACGCCACTTACTTCTAAATAACTTGTCCGCGCCAGAGCCATTCGATAGATGGGGCTGCCGAGGACCGAAGAGGTGAAGTCACTGGCCTGGCGCCACACGGCCAACAAGGCACGCACACGAGTGAGAGGTTGTCGCCATTCCCCTCGGCTCCAGGACGTGTCCAGGGTGGGCTGCGAGGAGGGGCCCCAGTGCAGCCTGTCGGGCGGGTGCCCAGCTGTGCTCCGCCGAGAGGCACGACACCAGGGACAGGCCCCTGCTGCCCTGCTGCACCCTCCTGTGTCCCTGAGTTTTAGGAATCTTTCCTTCAGTCTCTTTCAGGCCTGTGTCTTGCTGTTTGCACCGACCCCACCCTCGTCCAGACACCTCCCCGTGTGTATCTCGGTTTTTGTTACCGTGGCACTTGCGCTGTGCCCCTCACCGCTGGCTCATCCTTCCCAGCTCCAGTCTGCGCCCGGCTGCCTTTGTGGTGCGACTTCTGTGTTTGAGAGCCTTCCGCACCCCTCCCTGCTCGCCCGAGTGAAAGCCATCCTCTGCGCTGGGCACTTTTGACACTTTGGGTTCTGAGTGATGGACAACCAACTCAGTATGAGGAAAAAGGCAGGCTCGGGGCCAGTCCCCTGCTTCAGGCTGAATGCGAGGGCCGGGCCGGGCCATGAGAGGTGGGTGCAGAGGTGGGTTTGGCGGCATGAGGGCGCCCTGCAGCTCCAGGCTCACACCTTACTAATGAGCTTCCCAGCAGGAAGCTGGGCTCTTCCCGACACCGCTGTGGCCAGGGGCTGGGCCCAGACACAGCCACCGACGTCCACGCTGCTTCCCATTCAAAGCCCTTCCCATCCTGCCCTGACTTTCCTCCCCAGCCCTCCTCCTCCTCTGCATCAGGTCACTCACTCACAGTCCCCAGTGTGGCTGCTCGGCCTTCAGCCCTGCTGGCCGGCCCGCTGCTCTTCCTGCCCATCTCTCTGTGAAAAACGGGGACCACGAGTGTACCCGCTTTTGTGCCCAGCTACAGCACTTCCTGCAAAGCCTTTGGGCACGCGCCTTCTCTCGTCGAGACCGACGGCTTTCGCGTCCCTCCCGTTGCTCTCACGCAGAAGCCTTACGAGTGAGCAGGGGAGGCGCTGGGACCCGTTTGTACAGCTGTGCCTTGTTTGGATACCAGCTCTCGCTGAGACTCGTGCTGAGTGCCGAAGTGAGAAACATTTCTACGATAATATCCAGGTGTTTTTTTAATGTCGGTTTGACAAATGAGGGAATTGAGGCCTAATAAATTGGTGGCCGAGGGTCCCACAGACCGTCTTTCTTAAGTTCTTGGAACACGTAAGCTCTCTGCCACCTCTGGGCCTTTGCAGATGCTGTTCCCTCTGCTCGGAACGTTTTCCCCGCTCTCACCTGAGCAGCCCCTACTCGTCATTCAGAGTGTAATTAAACGTCAGGTTCTTAGGGAGCTTCCCCTGGCCACCCCGCTCCCCAAATCCAGAACAGGCCCACCAAGCTCTCTGCTCATACTTCTGTTTGTACAGCGCTTACTGCGGAACGTAGTGACTTTACTGTTTAGGACGCATTTGTGTACTGTCTCCCTGTGGGACCCTACACCCCCGAGGACAGGCACGGTGACGTCTGTGGTGGCTCTGAGACGGTCAGTGCCAGCACTCGTGCTGACATGGAGGGACATTGGGAAGTTGCGTGAGTCAAGTGCAAATGTGAGCCATTGGCAGAGCCCGGGAGGCACCAACTCGAAGGCTGGACCCCAGATGGCCTGCGGTCAGCACGATTGCAGCCCTCAGTGTCCTGGGCTGTCCCCCGAGCACCTCCCCTGCTAAGTGATGTGGTCACCAAGACAAAGCTCTGGAGCCCTAGCTCTTTGGGTTCCTAAGATTGGCACTGTCTGGTAGGTGGGCCTTCAGGATGTGAAGGGTGGATATCCTTCGGGTGGGTGGGCAGAAAGGAAGAGACACAGACCCGCAAACGAAGAGCCAGAGGGGGGTGTGGGGGCTTTGGGAGACGAGGCTGGTGCGCGGGCCCTGTGCTGGAAGGAGGCAGCGGTTAGTACTGCGGCCTCCACACAGAACCTCAACCCGCACGCTGGCTCAGATCCAAAACTAACACCCCGTTCTCGAGTTCTTGAAATAAACCCTCCATTTGGTGGGTCTAGAAGAGTTTTCACTTTGACATCCCTGCCACATTACATTGGAACACTTTCATTATACATGAAAGCGACTTTTATTTCTTCTTATACCGGAGTGAGCAGCCTGTTACTATAGCGATGTTGAAACTGTTTCGAGATATTTTTATAGAGTCTTCTTAACACTCACTGCATACTGGACATAGTGGTTAGTGGAGATGGGCTGTAGTGTTTTGGACTGTTTTTCTCTTGCATCTTTGTATTCTTGACTAAACTTCTGCAAACTGCTACAATTTAATTCCTGACATTTGACCCTCTCTTATTTTTAGGAAGGAAACATTGGGGGTGTAACTATAGTTGATCTATCGAACGTGGAAAACAGCCGTGAAATAACGTGGATTTTGTGTGAGCGCCGTAAAGGTGCAGTTGCTCCTTGAGACGCCCCTTTCAGAAAAGGAGGTGCGGTCATAGCTCCCTTCTGTGTGTCCGCAGGGCCTGGACAGCTTCCGGGTGAAGCAGCGGTTCTTCTCGGGCAGCCAGGAGCCCGCGGCGTCCTTCCCGGTGCCGTTCGACCTCCCTCCGGAGCTGTATGGGAGCAAAGGTGAGTCAGGGGGACCTGGGGGGAGGTGCCAAGGCAGAAACAGGCAGTGCGCAGGAGAAGCTGGGGGTCTCTCGGTGGCAGGCTGGCCTGTGGCACACTCTGGAAGCACAGGCTTGTGGAGGCCCCTTTGCTGCCCCACCTGGGGCCGCTGGAGCCATAGTTCTCCAGCTCGCTGGTCTCAGAGCCCCTGCGCCCTCCTATCGCTATGGAGGAGCACCGAGAACTTTGTTTACGTGGGGGTTTCCGTCCATTGGCATTTACTACATCAGAAATTAAAACCAAGAAGTTTGAAAATATTTACTAGTTTGTTTTAGAATAATAACCCATTATAGAATAAAAACCCGTTATAATGTCTATATTTTTAAAACTGTTTTCCAAAAAATGAAAGGTGGCACTGTTTATACTTTTTGCAAACCTCTTTTCTATCCTGGTTAATGGAAGATAGATGGGTTCTCACAGCTGCTCTGTGTCACACCACAACATGTGATATCATGTGTGTCATGTCACATGGGATATCATGTGTGTCATGTAGCATCTGTATACTCGTGAGAAAGTAAAAGGGCAAATATGGCTCACTGTGTTGGTGGAGCTGATTTTAACATTATAGCCCCCCACTTCTTCAAAGGGAGGTCCCTGGCCACACGCTGAGAACCGGTGTCTCTCAGGCAGGGCTGGCTGGCTGTGCAGGGGAGCCCCCTCTGGCCCAGCCCCCCAGCCCCCCAGCCCCCAGCCACGCTCTTGCTGCTGCCACCCACTGCCTCAGGGTGGTCTGTGAGGTGAGTTCACACAGCAGGTGAACGGTCAGGTCAGGTGTGGGGCAGGAGCAAGCTTGCCTGGCCATGTAGATCCTTTTGGCTGGTCTGATAATCTGATAGACAGGAGACAGATTAGGGAGAGGAAGTAACCAAACAATCCTTGCATTTGGGAACCGCCCCCCCCCCCCCCCCCCCCGACACACACATGAGAGTCAGAGACCCTGAGTGCACGGGAGGTCCGGAGAGAGGAAGGGGGACTGAGACAGACGGGAAGTCCTGAGATGAGGCGGGGGGTGCTGCAGAGGGTCCGTGTGGGGCACTGAGAAGAGCAGATGTTTGGTGAAGAGAAGTCTGTCTAAAGAGGGTATTCCTCGGATAATCTCACTGTGCGCAAGGCCCCTACTCTGTGCTTCTGGGAAGGAGGGGTGGAAATTTCTCTCCAACCCAAGGTGAATGTCACCTTTTGATCAAAACAGCCCGCTGACCACAGAGGCACTCTGGGGTGACTCGCTCCAGACCCCCTGAGCAGACCATTTGCTGATTTAAAACGGAAAATGTGCATGTCCGCACAGCCAGTGTATTTTCTCCCGGAAGGTAGAGGCCTACCCAGGTGGCCGAATTATAACCTGTAGTTTTTGAGCAAATGCTGGCGATGAGCAGGGAAATTTTGGGTTTTGGTCAGAAAGTTTTTATTAATGACATCACCCAATTAATATTCTGGGGTCCCTTCCTTCCCAAGACTGTAAAGAAGAGGCCCCAGCAACTCCCCCTGCCTCATGCACCCTTTCAGCCTCAGTGGTGCGTCCAGCTTCCCCGACGGCCTGCTCTTTACCCTGTAGCATTAACCAGGGCTCAGGCTGCCTGGGTGCCACCCCACCACCCATCACACACACACAGATGGACAGCATCGCTTTACGGCCAGACTGTGTCGTACATGCTGCTACAATGTATTCCCTGACCTCGGGCAGTTACTTGTGTTCTGGACCTTCACGTCTCTATCTGCAAAAGGAGAGGATAGGAATGCCTGCTTCACAGGGCTGTGGAAGAGTAACAGGGGTGTCGTCTGCAGCGCTCTGGCCTGCCCAGCCTTGTTGTCCAGAGGCCACAGTCAGGACATGTCAGCTGGGCGCCTGTCCTCTGAGATGCCCAGCCCGGGTCCTGACACGTAGCAGTGGGTTGGTGTCCCTTCTCTCCCTTCCTCCGTGGTGAGTTTATAGTGCAAATGGGCTAAGGCTCCAGCAAGACAGGCTCTAAACCTCCCCTCCACCCCCACCCCTGCCCAGGACAGACCTGACCATCCCTCCTTCCTCCTCTGTCTGGGTGCTGCACCTCTGTTCTCCTTTTTGCTGTTCTTCCTATTCCTTTGTTTGCTTTTTGCTTCCTTTTAAACCGAGTTCTCCTGAATTAATATGGAGGGGTTGTGGCTGGTCTGACCTCGGGGTTTGTACTTCCCAACCCCGGCCCTTGGCTAGACTTCTCCTCCTTCCTTATCCAGATTTCCAACGGATTTTGAAAGGGAGAATGAGGAGATAGAGGAGACTTCAGAATATCCTGAGGTCCCTTTAAGTCCCAATAGAAAAAGCATTCCCAAGAATTAAACTGGGTAGTGTCTTGATGATAAATCTTTTGTTTGGCCAGCAAGAATGTTTTCCATTATTTAGCTGATTTTTATGTATTTCCTTTGAAAGATACAAGAGACTGGGGCATTTTATTTATTATCACTATGATTTGACCTCCGCACCGCTCTACTAGCATGTAGAATAATGCCAGTGATTCAGATGTTACCATTTCATACACAGCCAACGTTCAAGGGGTTGGCCGTATGGCCAAGAAAAGGGCATTTTACCAAGATTCGGAAAAGTGAGTGGCTAAAAACATTTGAAAAGCACTTCTTTTGAAAAAGTGATATCTAAGCTAACAACACATAAGAAGATCTTGTTAAATCAGGAGCTTATACGAAAATCCTAGCAAAGAAATACACTGCTGGGAACGAATCACAGTTCATTACAAGAGGCCACCCGGCGTCCTGAAACCAAGAAATTGATCAAATAAAGCAGAAATGAAGGCCGGGCTGCAGGTGCGCCCTGCCTCGAGTAGCGCCTGCTGCTTACTCGTTCACGCCTACTGTGCACAGGCGCAGTCTTGGTGTGTGGAATATGTCAGGGAGTGAGACAGACACAGTTCTTGCCCTCATCAAGTTCACAGTTACTCTTCTGTTAAGGTACACTCTACCAAACTCATTTTACTAACAGGAGCTGCATTTTTGAATACTTTTATAAAGCCAAATCACTCACATTTTAAAATGCAGCATATGTTTTCCCTGTATTTCCCACTTGCTCTGTGACCCTAAGCCTGGAGAAAGAGAGAGAGAGAGAGAGAGAGAAGTGGGTTCTCTCTCCCAGAGACACGTCTGCTGTGCCCTCCCTTTCCTCGTGTTCTTCTTCTTATCGGACACACTGTTGAGAAAGCCAAGGTAAGATTAAGGAAGGCCTATCTTATTTGGATTTAAAGAACAAGTTATATGTCAAGTTGAAGATGTAATCAAACATACAGAACTTCAAAGGATTTCAGTTATATTTTATTTATTGAGTGATCTGCTGCTTTTTTGAAAATACACATTGTATCTATATAGTATTCTTTCTAATTTTTTTCATAATTTCAGATACACAAAAAGTTACAAGTACAAAGAATTCCCCTATACTCCTCATCCAGGTCCCCCAAATGTTAATATTTTATCACATTTGTATAATTCCTCCCCTCTTCTCACGTTAACTTTTTTCCTGATCCATCTGAGAAAAAGTTGCAAACATTATGTCCTTTTTTTCTCTAAATAATTCAATATATATTTTCTAAAAATAAAGGCATTCTCTTACATAACCACAGTACCGGGGAGTGGAAATTTTCCCCTTTTCCCTCCATTCAACCATTCTGCCTGTTTGAATGATTAAAATGACACAAGACAGGCTAGCGGGAGGAAATACTAAAAGTTAGTTACATATCTACGTAAGGGGGCACAACCCTGTGAGAACAGAGACCCAAGGACAAACCAGGCTGCCCTTACTCCGTCTGGAGCTAAGCAGCGGGGGTTGTGGTTTGGGACTTCGGAGATGGAGCAAACTTGGGGGCTTCGACAGCCAGGCTTTGGTCAGTGGGCCTTGCTGAATCCCTCACTATCACATTAGTTCATGTTCAACTACAGTTACCTGTGACAGCTCCTCCCTTTCTGGGGCAGGTCCTCTGTCTAAATTCCTTTAGGCAGTTTGGAGGAAGGTCATAGGTTTTCCCTGAATCATTTGTTTTTTAGAAATAACCAGCTTAAAATCAGTACCCCAAATGGCATATTTTGGGGTGGCTAACTTTCCTGTCCCCCCGTTTCCAAAGGGTTTAACCATTTCCCCTACTGTGTAATTTTAAATAAATTCTTGTGTTTAGATAGTATGGGAATAAAGTTCCACCTAGAATTATTGCTAAATAGTTGAGTCCAGATTCATATTTTTGTGAGAGAAACAGAAATTTGATTTAATTTTCTAACGTAAAGTATACAAACAGGTAAGTTACTTAATATCATTGTTGACATGTTTCCTTTTGATTTTGTAAGGACATGTTTTTGGAAGATCTTTAGAAATGAGACTAAAAAATGAGACAGCCAAAAAAGTTTTTAGATGTGCTTTTGATCATCTCCTTTAAGAAGGTCTATTTTTGCTTCATTGCACAAACAGAAGTTGAAACTAAATTTCCGGCTTTGCTTTTAAAATGACTTTATAATCAGAAAGTTTAAGGAAATCTAGAGTAATCAAAGTTTAAAAAAGAGTCATGTATTTGAGATCCAAGAGAATGGCTCTGCTGGAAGTGCTGATTCAGGAAGAAACCCAGAGCATCCTGATTAGGAGGTGGACCCAAGGAGTTTTACAAGAAAGCACCGGGGGGTGGGGGTGGGGGGTGGTAACTGCATCAGTAGAAGGAGGCAGTTTCTGTGGGTGTTAATAAGCTAAAGAAGGAATTTCTGTTGGTGCAAATACGCTGACAGTGATACTACTTCTAAAGAATGTCTGTTGTTTTCAGTCCTCTCCTCGTAATGTCTGCTTCCCTGTTGGTTTTGCAAACAGAAGTGGTTGTTGGGAGTGTGGTGCTGCTTTAGTCCAGTTCAGAGGTCCTTTTGCCCAGTTTTAATGTTCTGAAGTTTTGGGGAATAAGCCGTGCAGGGCAGTTCCTCTTGAGTGGCAGCTCCGGCTCCATCCTGAAGTGGCTGCATTTGTATGATTTTTTTTATGCTGCAATCACAGATGATTGCGATTCTGCTTTGTTGGTAACCCCGTGTAAAATATTTTGGAAATTTCCTTCATATTTAAGTCTGTCAAGTCTTTTATATGGCCCTTAATTTCAGAGTGAAATAATATCAGAAATCTTACAGTAATTGGTTCACGTCTTTGGGGTCACACACCACACCCAGTCTGCTCATGCCCAATGTAAGGAAAGAATGAGAAGTGATTGCTCAGGTGAGACCATGGCAAACCTGTCATGACGTACACAGCATATGGCATAATGACAGTCCCCACCCACTGTGAGTGGAGAGTAGCGGTAATTACAACAATAATTATAATAGCAGCTGGTACTATTTCAGTACTTACTGTGGGCCCAGAGCTGCTGTTGAGCACTTGACCTGAATTTTTAAATCATTGAATGCTCACCCCACCATGACTCGGGGCTACAGATAAGGAAGCCTAGCCCTGAGCACTCGGGCTCACCCAGCCAAGGCTTCCGGTTCTCCCGCCTCCCGCATCCACCCCCCCTTTGCCCTTCCACTGCAGCCCCTCCCCGCAGAGGGCAGTTTGGGACGTCCAAAGAGATGCAAGACGCACACAGTCCCTGAGCTCAGGGAGAGGTAAGAGGGGGATACACAGGGAGAGGAAACCCCACGGCTGTCCCCTCGTCCCCAGCCCCCGGCCGTGTCCGTAGCGTGGGCCTCGTCCATCTCACCTGCCCTGTGCTGCTTGCTCATCCCCCTGGCTCTGGCCTCCGCCCTCTGCACCACCCTCACCCCCGCCTGCACATCTCATCATGTCATGCTCCACTTTCAAATCCTCCCACCACATCCAGAAAAAAAAGACAGCCTGCCATCCCCTCTAGCCTTGGATCCCAACCTCTGATTGTGTCAGGGTCACCTTTTGAACTTGATAAAGTGCATGTCACCAGGCCCCAGCCTGGGGAAGAGGATGAAAAGCTTTCTGGGGGTGGGAGGTGAGCGATTCTTACACGATCCCGGTTAGAGAACTTTAATCTAAGGTGATGGCTTCCTTGCTGGTCCGTCCGCCCCACTGGCCTGGAAACGCTGAGAAGCCCTCAGCTTTGTCTGGCCAAGTACCTCATCCTAACTGGCACTGAACAGTAGTTCATATACCTGTGTGACTATATCGTGAAGCAAATTCTCTCAGTGCGACAATTTACACAGATTGCATAAAACAGGCCTTCATCTAAGCCGTTAATGCTGATTTCCAGCAGTGACGGGTAAGAAGGCGGCAGAATCACAGCCAGCCTCCTTCACCTTTCCTGTCGGCCTCCTTGCGGCTTTCCCCCGAGGTAGTGGAGGGCTCGGCGCCGGCATGGGACACAGTCCACCTCTAGATGCGGACATTTACTGCTCACTCACAAAGCAGAGCACTGGGGTTTTACCAGGAGGGCAATTTCTAGGTCCTGCTTGGTCACTGCTGGCTCAGGTCAAAGGAGAGGAGGAAGTGCAGCGGTGGCCTAAGGTCACTGGCTGACTGGCAAACGTCTGCATGGCAAATCCCGCATTGGTGAAGAGTCCCTCTAATAACTGCTCAGGCAGCGAGAACCGGGGTGTCCTCTGCCTTGGGGACAAAGCAGACCTGGGTTAGCCCGTAGCAGTCTGCAGGAAAAGGGTGAAAACAGAGAAGTCCGGCCACGAAAGATGGTGCCCCCAGTGGGAGAGAGCCGGCACCCTTTTTAAGGCCGGCGAGTGTCATGGGGAGTCAGGTCTCCACCCCCCACCGCTCCCTCACCTTTCATGAAACGTGGCCCAGACTCATGGCCACTCAAAGCCCATTAATCAGTAAAATGTGTGGTTTCACGCTGTCAAACCCCCTGAAGGCCAAAGGCAAGACAACAGGGTTCGATAACTTGTTGCCATCTTTGGCATTCCTTTTTTTTTATTGTAACTTTTTTATTACCATTTTCCTGCTGTTTTAATGCCTCTGTGATTACTCCACACAGTAGGGCCGCGAGGAGGCAGCAGCAGGTGCCGCCGTCTGCCGGGTGTCCCCGAGCTGGTCCTCAGGCTGCAGCCTGCCTCTCCCGGAGAGAGGAGCAGGCAGCCCGAGGGCGGCCGGCAGGGCCGAGCAGGCGGAGGCGGGCCGGTCCCTCCCAGCAGACCCGGGTGGTGGCCCGTTCACTGTCAGCACTCAGAGTTGTTCGCTCTTACCCACCAGGACAGCCATGGGGATTTACTTGTAGTCCCCACAGTGTATTTACTCCCTGCCCACATCCTTATGAGGTTCTTTCTAAATGGTGCATGCGAAAAGTGATTTGTCCAGACTTTTTCAATTTCTGAAACATCGGTTAAAAGGAAGGAAAAAAAGTTCCTATTATTGAGCATGTCCAACGGGCCAAAAATTTCACAGGTGTCCTTCATTTGTGCCTCACTGTCGTCTTGGGAGGTTGCTGATGTGATCGGTTCCCATCTCACAGATGAGGAGCCTGAGGCCAGATTCCAAATGCTTTCCCCAGCGTGCAGGGAAGAACGAAGGCAGCATTTGAACAGGGCTGCAGTTTATCGTGTGGTTCTCTCTGTACTGGACACTATGTCTTGCACACCACGTGGATTTATCTCATTTAATCCTCATGACAGCTGTACGACGTAGGCACTGACGGGGAAACTAAGGCTCCCGGAGGTGGCTTGTCGGTGTGAGTGGCGAGGCAGAGTGCACCCCGGGTGTGCGCTTGCCTCTGTCTGTGTTCACTCGCCCCGTCTGAGACCAGACCTTCACTGAAAACGCGATTTGCCTGGGGTCGGTTCCAAAGGTTCTTCGCAGTCTCCACACTCCAGCACACGACTGCACAGATGCCGCCTGGAGAGTGGGTGCTCTGCAACCCTGTTCGGATAAATTTTGTACATGTGCACTGTGTTTTTTTCTTCCAGATCGGCCGTGGATTTGGAACATTCCCTACACCAGAGCCCCAGACACACACGGGAACATGTGGGTCCCCTCCTGAGAGAGCGGAAGCTCTGGGAAACTTACATGTAAGACACCGAGCCCCCAACATCACATGTTCTTGTTCGTTCAGGGCGTTCACGTCCCTTCAGGTTCTCTCTGCACCCCCAGGACACTCCTTGCAAAGGTCACTCTTTTGAACATGGATGTTGGTTATAGGTTTAGTGGTCTTTATTAACATTTCTCACTAAAAAAATGTTATATTTTCTTAATTCTCTTTTCTATGCTGTGCTTTGGAATAAGAGCAATTAAACTCCACACTGTGAAAAGAACACATAGATGTAAAGTCCTCGTAGTGACTGGAATCCTCAGTGGTGTCAGCTCTTCTAACTGAGGGCTGACTGTGTAGGTGGTGCGTTGTTGGGGAAGGTGCTCTTCATTCAGCCGGCACCTGTCAGAGGGGACATGTGACCGTTGGCTGTCTCCCCCAGCCCTCGCCCAGCTTCCTGAGGGTCTTGGGGTTGCTGGACCTGCATCTGCAGATTCCAGGCGCCCGTCCCTGACGCTGGCGCAGTGGCCCTTCACACCAGGGAGTGTGTGGCCTCAGCCCAGCAGCTTCAGGGCGCTTTCCGCCATCCCAGCGCTGTGCTGGCTGCCTCACTGCAGACGATGGGGCTCCCCCGGCCCCGGGCCGGCTGCCATTCTCCCCGAATCCCTCAGGCTGTGGGGGTGGCGGGGTGTCTTCCATTCCCACAAGTTTCCAGGAAAAAAAAAAAAGCTCACAGGATCACACAAACGCACACAGGTATTCTGCTTGGAAGGAATCCTAAATGGTGAGCCAGTTTGGCGCCTGTGTCTACAAGTGAGGAAACTGAGGCCCAGAAAGGTCCAGGGAGTCCCCCAGGTCACACCGCTTGCTGGGTCGAGGCTCCGAGTGTCTTTCCACGTTGCGCGCACACGTCCTTCGCACCTAGGGGTCGGGGTCTCGCTGGGCCATCAGACCTGTCTCCTTTAGCGCGAGGCTGATTTCCAGTTTGCCTCCAGCCTCTTCATCTTACAGTCGAGAATGGTGTTACATGTTCATTTGGAAAGATTTTTTTTAAAATCGTTCTTTTAACTTTTTCAGAGGCCTAGAATTTTCGTCTTGGAAACTGTGAAGGGAGGGAGGGAGTGGGTGCTGTGCTCCAGGAGGGACCGACCTGGCGAGTCCTCCAACCCCATCGGAGAGGCCGCTTCCCGGGCCGTATGCCGGGATTCTACACAGAACGTTCCCTAAGTTGTTGTTATTATTGCTACTACTTTAGTGTGCTGCTTTAAAAAAAAATGTTGAAAAGCCACTGAAATAGTTGAACCAGTTCATTTCACAGGCAATAAAACAAAGGTTTCAACCCTTTCTGACCCAGCCTTCTCCTGCCCGGAACACTCAGGCCCTGTGTCAGATGAGCCCGGCAGACGGTGGGGGTGCCCTGGGCTGGCAGCAGGGGCCCCGGGCAGCGCCCAGCAGTCTGAGCCGGGCGTCCGAGGGGCCCAGAGTCTCTCCAGCGAGGTGGCCCCATCCCAGGAGGCGGCCACGGGAGCTTCCGGGAAGCGAGGCAGAGTCACAGCGGCTACAAGCAGTCAGCCTGCCCTAGGACCCAGAGGCCTGGGCTGCTCGGGGTCCGGTCCGATAGGACGTTGGCGGCAGATGGACAGCCACCAGTCACAGCTGGTCCCACGGGTATGTGGTCCATCTGATCCATGTACCTGCAAAGGGGCTTAGAGCTCAGAGGGAATTAGAGCTGGAACCCCTTCCTTGTGAATACTTTGCTGAATACCTCAAAGAAAAGGAAAGCTTGTATAGACATTCTTTATTTACATTTATAGAACACAGTGATTGTGTTGATGGATAAGTGACATTAATTATGACAAGCTTGATGACAAAAGTCTATGCAGGACCTCAGTGGCCTGCAGAAATGAACTAGCTGTTGTATAGGGTTAAGTCCGAAACTCCACTGATAACGTGCGGAGCGTCGTGCGTAGGTCAGACCACATTCTGATAAAACCTGGCAAGTTTTCCAGGTTCAGTAGCCCACTTCCAGTAGTGCCCAGAATAGTGCGACAGACGAAACTGCACAGTTTCTCCCTGCGTCTGTCACCTGGTAAGTTAGATCTCGGGGGCCGTTGCTTGTTTAATGGGATTCACACGCAAAAACAAAAGACAAGACAGATCAGAGGAGGCAGCGCTCCGTCCCTGGGAGATGCCAGCTGCATGCGTGACCAGGACACAGCACGGAGTCTGGGGACCCCCTGGGAGCCATCTCTGCCCGCTGGTCCCCGAGCAGGCATGCTGACCGGCAGGGGCTGGGCTCCCACTGTGCGCCAGGTGCTCTTCCACGTGTCTCACGTGTGTTAATCGGCTTAATCTTCGTGACACCCCGTGAAGGGGTGCTGCTGTCACCCCCACTTTACAGATGGAGAGAGGAAGACACCGGCCCCAAAGCCCCAGCCAAGGAGGGGGCCCTGCGTGTGTGACGTGCGGCTGTGGCTGCAAACCCGGCGCCCCCCCTCCTCTGGGGCCGAATCACGGTGGGCACACCAGGGCAGACCGGGGGGCCAGCCGCTGAGTGCCGCGGGACCAGGCAACACCGAGCCACTGCGTCCTTGGAGCCAGAGCCGGACGGGCGGGCTCCTGTCCGGTGAGAGCATCCAGCGCTGGCCGAACGCTTGCCCTGCCTCGTGCCTCACCCTCCAGTAACGTGGGCGAGCGGATTTCACTTCCGAACGAAGGAAACCAAGACGGGAATTTAAAATCCAGGGTTCTCGGAAAGCTGTGAGTGAGTGAACCCTGTCGTCTGAGTGTTCCAGAACAGGTTTCTTCACACTGTGGCCACGGCCTTTTAGAGAATCATGAAATCGGCTTAGGGGGCTGTGACCAGCATTTTTAAATGAAATAAAGTGTCTGTGTGCAACACAGAGGAAGGTTATTTTTGTTTCAGCTTGTGTATCCGTGAGTTACAATACAAACTGAATCCCTTCCCACAGCTGCTAGTTCAAGCCCCTGGATGAAGACAGATTGGTTCACCAGGAAGTGACTGGAGCTTTGACCAAAGCCCGAGTCTGGTCCCAGCTCCGCCCCCTCCACAGAGTCCTCATGACCTCACCTTTGAGTGGGGCCGATTGCCATCCTTCCTGCCTGGGGGTTTGTGGAACCGGTGCTCAAACACGGTGAAAACGGACCCACAGACATTGTAATGTTCTCACTCCCAGTCGGTGAGAGTGCTGGGCGCTGGCAGCCTCTCCCCGGGGCGCTTAGAGGATGTTAATTCAGGTGTCGGAACCAGTGGGCCTCAGTACTGCCCCCAGGCTGCCAAATGCAGGCTGTTCCCGGGGGCGGGGGCAGGTGGAAGGGTCCTGGCTGTGGCAGGCCCAGGCCCGTAGGCCCCTGGGTTCCAAGGGAAGCCAGCCCTGGGCCAGGCCCTGACCGTCTCCGCACAACTGACCCGCCTATTTCCGGCCCTGAAAGTGCTGGCTCCCCTTAGGCGTCCTGGTGGTGGCCAGTAGTGGCCTCATGGTAGTGGGGAGTCATGTGGGTCTGGGGGTGAGCTGTCACTTCACCCCCGGAAGTCCATTTTAGGAATGAAGAAAGGCCCCAGAGGAGCTCCTGCCCACGGGTGCATTCTTCAAAATCGTAAAGCAAGCTCCTGTGTCCTGCAGGACTCTGATACTTTCACAGGCACAAGAAATGGGCACCTTTCATTGCGCTGAGATCGGCAGAAGCTGCCTCTGGGTAGCGAAATAGGTGGGATGGCGTTGGTGAGCCACTTAACAGCATTCTGGACGCAACCCGTGGACACCTGTGGAGAGCCAGCCTGAGCCCAGCTGTGCGTTTCTGCCCTGGTCTGGCGCCAGCCTCCCTGACAGTGGATGGCCTGTCCCCGTGGTCTCCGGTCCCCGTGGTCTCCGGTGCCCCCTGGCCTGGCTCCCTGGCTCCAGCGCAGAGCGGACTGGGCGGCCGTGGGAATAGGTGCAGGAATGGGAAGAGGGGACTGGCTACATAGGGAACGAACTTTGAGGAGCCAGGAGAACGTTCCTACCATGATTGTAGCGTTGACTACATGTTACAAAACCCCTTGAATAAGACACCAAATTGGTAACTTTTTTCTTTGCAATTCTCTATCAATGCTATTGATATTGTTGGGACGGAGGGAAATTTGGATTCTTTTTAAACTAAATTTCCAGCTAGCTCAAAGATGTAAGTGCAAAAATTAAACCTTAGAAACACTAATCCAAGGGCTAGATATCTAGATAAAAATCTGAAAGCATGATCATCGCAGGAGGCACTGGCAGAGTAGGGTCAGGAAAATATTCAGAAGACGACTGTGTAAAGAACGGGCTATACAAACACCTCAGTGGAAAACCTTCATACAAAGTGAGATCTTACGCTTGGGTCAGGTTAATGCATCTCCTACAATACCAGGCTTCATTGAGTACAATGCTTTTATTAAGGTCTCTGCTATTAAAAAACACCGACACATAGATCTTGCGTTGTACAATTATTGTTGAAGATGCTGTATAGTTTAATACTCCCCAGCGTAGGTTCCATGTGCTGAACTCCTTTTAGTATTTAGTGGCAGGGACCGGTCTCAGTCTTTGGAACCTGTCTCCTAGATAATACAAAATATGCTACAATAAAATATGCTTTATTTTCGTCTTAGTGGCTAGGGAACTCAGGTCTACATTTAATGTTTTATTAACAGATTTGCTTCTTTCCCTGTAATACCATGCCTTTCTTTTGCCAGTATTTTATTGTATACATGTATGTAAAGACATCATGATTCCCATCCATTTTGGAAGCAGATGTGATATAATAAAGTTCAAGATCCCTTTTAGCAACAAGGTTCTGTCTTACTGTTGGTTAAGGGAACACTGAGTACCGGGACTCACCCTGCACTGGGCCGACTGACACAAGGGCGGGCAGGTGGGGTTGAGGGAGAAGTGGAGAAACAAGGATACTTAGGTGACGGGGCCTTACTCCTACCACAGTGACCCCCAAACTGCGGGAGGGAAGAAATGCAGATCTCAACTTCCTTCCCAAAGGACCGTACCTGCTAGAAACACCTTCCTGCCGAGAAGTGAGCAGCAGCCAGAGGAACTTACCTGCCGCTTCCTTCACTCGCCTTCCTCCTTCCACCGGTGGTTTGGCGGCCTCCTGGGCATCTCCAGTCCGGCTGTGCATAAAGCCCATCGGCAGGAGGGTGCTGTGGGCACCAGAACCTGAGTCACCCTGACTCTTCCAGGATCATCCACCAGAGACAGTGGGGGCGCCTTGTCTTCAGATGGAGAGTGTTTTACAGGACAGGACGTCCTCCTTCAACTCGGCATTCGTGGCTGCCGGTGCCGTGTGCGCCGGACTCAACTGCACTGCTTCCTTCGCCTCTTGTTTTGTTACAGCGAGGCTGCCGAGGTTTTCTAGTCCTTGTTCTCCAGTATCACAGCTAATTATCAACGTGTGCTTTTTAAGGTTTATTTGAACCTTTGACAACAGTTACTGGTGGCGTTGATTCTTCTGTGTTTGGCAGAGTTACTGTCACCTGCTCGCCTCTGCCAGCCTCGAGTGCCCCTTCACAGGGAGTGTCCACAGAGTGGGTCTGAAGTCCTGGTGCACAGCGTGAAAGGCTCGCGGATGCTGCTGCTTCTCAGAACTCGCCTGACATGAGAGCCGCCGGCGACCGTCCGTGCACCAGGGTCCATTTGTCGTCACTCTGTCGGCTTCGACTTCGCCTTCCAAAGGGCGCGCCCCACATGCGCCACCTCAGCCTGGAGGAGCTGCACTCGCAGCCAACCACCAATTTGGTGACTTTTGTTGTGTGTAAATGATAATAAGTTCCCATTTAACATCATCGATAGGTTCTGGGACCTAAAGGAAAACAACGTGTAACAAAACCAGATTTACCAGAGGGTAATTGATATAACGAGCAGTTAATTTCCTATGGCGTCTCATCAACTTTACAGCGAGACGTTATTCAAGGATCCGCTGTATAGCTCAATAAAGCCGATTTTATAAAAACACCAAGAGCCCTGGCTGGTGTGCCTCAGTGGACTGAGTGCCAGCCTGGAAGCGAAGAGTCGCCAGTTCGATTCCCAGTCACGTGCCTGGGTTGTGGGCCAGGTCCCCAGTGGGGGGGTGTGCAAGAGGCAACAGATTCATGTTTCTCTCCCCCCTCTTTCTGCCTCCCTTCCCCTCTCTAAAAATAAATAAAATATTTAAAAAAACAAAGTATGTACAGTTTGGATATGTGCATTTATGTAAATTTTACATCAAAAGAAATCTAAATTGTTGAACTCTAATGATAACACCGTATTTTGTCATGTATAATACACCTCTGTATAATGTCCACCCATGGTTTTGTGCACATTATACACAGATTATAGCCATGATACATGATCATTATATCCACGTATAATATGCATCAAAACTTTGGGCAATGGAGTGCACGTTATGCACAGGAAAACACGGTACACGCTGAAGGATCCAGGGGCGAGTGTATTGACACCTGCAGTTCATGCTGAACTGCATTAAAACGAGGTATGTTCACAGAAGGACAGATACATGGCAAAGCCAGCGGGAAAACAAGTACACAAAGTTGCCACTGAAATTCCTTTCAACGTCGGTGTAAGTTGGAAGTGTTCGTTTTAAAACATTGTGGGGGAAACCGAGTAACTTCAGGTTTCCGGCTGGGCCAGGTGGCTGTCGAACCAGCTCTTTCACAAATCACAGTGTCAGCTCTGGAAAACAACTTCCTGAAAAACCAGCTGCTCAGAAGCACTGAAAGGGACTAAAAGCAGGCAGAAACTGGGGGGCAGGCAACAACTAAGAATGGCCCTGCGCTGGGTGGGTTTGCTGGGGCCGGGTGGGGGCAACGGTTGTCGTTTGTTTGTTGTCTGTGTTTTGCTCTTTGTTCCTTCCCACTGTGGGTCCAAGGTCAGGTCCCCGTCCAAACGGGCAAACTGCCTGTGGAAAACCTGCTGTCTTGCTGGCTGGACAATCGCAGTACAGGGTTTGGGGCAGCCGCAGCCTCTGAGAGTAGAGAGGGAAGTAACAGGAGAGAGCCAGAGAGGGGGTCCCCAAACTCTGTACGTGAACTGCTCGCGTCTTGGGCTGGCCGCTGACTTGTGTGAGCACAGCTGAGGCTGACAGAACTCAGTAAAAACTCAGCCGCTTCCCACCACAGGGGGGGCAGTTTTGTGGCCCAGTTCAGCCAGGTTCAACTGCATGCTGAAAAATAGTTATTTTCCTAAGAGCATAACTGCATCCAGAGCTTCTGCAGTATATTCTAAATTATACATCAATACAGTATCTAGGACATAATCCCAAATGAGTCAGTATACAAATAAACAGAAAAACTTAACTCATTCCCCAAAGAAAAGTGGAGGAAACCAACCCTAGAATTTCCAAAGATCTTAAAGCAGCCATTGAAATTGATGTTCACATGTGTAAAAAAGATTTTATATTGAATAAGAAGACAGTTAATCAGCAGAGTAATAGAAGTTGTTTTTGAAGAACTGAATGGGAATTTTAGAAATAAAAAGTATAATACCTGAAATTTAAGAGTGACAAAATGGAGATGATGGGGGAGTGAAGTCAATAAATAGGTCAATAAACATTATCCAGTCTGGGGAACAAAAAACACTGGGAAAAATGGGGAGGGAATACTAGGGACCTGTGGGGTACATCAAAAAGTTAACTTACATGTCGTTGGAATCGTAGCCTGTGACAGTGAAATAACAGATGACAAAGATGAGCAAATACAGGGCAGAGAAAACAAGTGCCTAAAATCTCCCAACTTTGGTGACAAATTTACAGATCCAAGTTCAGTGAATAACCAGCAGTATCAATACAAAGAAAATGCCACTGGGGGAATCACAGTCGAACTACCGGAGACCGAGCTCAGGGAGGAAATGTGACAAGCAGCTGGAGAAGCCAGCAGCTGCAACCACTGACCAGCCTGGGGGCAGAAAGGGGCCAGAAGACATTCCAACGGCATTGCACTCTAAGGTGCCGAGAGAAAAGTCCCCTCCGGAATCTGCACCCAGCAAATACCCTTCAAGAATGAAGATGAAATGACCACGTTTTCAGATAGGAGAAAACTAAGATTTTGTAGATCTGCTGAAGGCAGTCCTTCTGGCTAAAGGGAGAGTGTATCAGAGAGAAACTCCATATTCAGTAAGGAAGGAAAACCATTTGAAATAGCAGACATCTTCATAATGATAAAAGATAAAGATAAAAAGACGTTTTCTCTTTAAGAACAGGGCACATACATTGTGTCCTGACTGGTGTGGCTCAGTTGTTTGGAAACAAACTTAAAATGGCTCATAGACACAAATATAAAAGCTAAAATTATAAAATGTCTGGGGGGGGGAAGACATGCAACCTTTGAGGGAAATAATGATTTCTTAGTAAACAAAGAACACTAAATAAGAGATTAATATATTGAGCTTCACCAAAATTAAAACCATCCATCAAAAAACATCTTTAAGGAAATAAACAGTCAAGCCAGGGGCTGGTAGAGAATATTTGCAAGATAGGTATCTGAGAAAGGACTGGTTTGATTATATAAAGGGTCCCTGTAATTCAATAATGCAAAAGAGAAAACAGTTTTTCTAATGGGTGAAATATATCAACAGGTCGTTTACAAAGGCAGATATACAAATGGCCAACAAGCACATAAGTTATCAGGGAAATGCAAATACAAAAAAAATGAGATACTACCACACCTCCGTCAGCATGATTAAAATTGAAACAACTCACTGCCGAACATTCACGAGCCGGGGGGCACTGGGAACCACTGCGCACTGCTCGGTGACCCAGCCACTTTGAGAAAATATTAGGCAGTTTCTTATAAAGTTAAGTACACACCTGCCCCATGACTCAACAATTCCACTCTCAGGTATTTACCCAAGAGACACAAAAACATCCACAAACATTTATACAAGAATGTTCCTAGCAGTTTTATTTACAGTCACAGAAAATATCTGAGAGCTCTGGTTTCTATCAATAGAAAAATAAATAAAACTATGGTGTATTCAAACAGTAAAAAAAAAATGGAGGGGAAAAAGGGTCAAATTATTGTAAGCCATAACATGGATGGATATTAAAAAAGCATGTTACACAAACACACACATGTGTTCATAATTATATGATTACATTTATATGAAGATCCAGGACAGGCAAAACTAATTTCTATAAAGACAAAACCAATCACTGGTAGAAAAAAATTAACAGGTTGATAGAGTGGATTGGTAGCTGTTTAATTTGCAAAGGTGTACACATTTGTCAGAATTCTAACGGTTCACTTAAGATTTTCGCGTTTCACTGGCTGTAAATTTTACGCCAAAGAAAAAAATCTGTAAATGAATATTGAACTCTAATGATATGTAGGGAGTACTGGGGGAGCGTGGGGGTGGACTGATGTCTTCAACTTCCTCTGAGTGCATTTAAAACCAGATGGGTTGATGGACAGAAAGAGGGATGGATAGATACATTAAAGAAGCACATACCGTTAAACTTACCGTCGCGGTGAGTATATGCGTGTTCGCTGTAAATTTACAACTTTGTTTTTGAAAATTTTCATAGTGAAATGGTGGGAGCAGTCGTTGCAGGACTTATCCAGGGTGTACACACGCCCCAGGAGCCACCACCCTCCTGACGCTGTTGCCCCCAGTGGGCTAAATAAACGAGGGACATCGTGGAACTGGGAGTAATATCCGCAGCATGGGGCTACCAATGGCAGAATACTGGAATCCAGACTGTGTTTATTCTCTGCTCCTGGTGAGTGCACGTGGGTGGGTTGGGCCTTGAGCCTGGAACCACTCTCTCGGGAGGCGGTGAAATTTTGACTAATTTGAAGATGCCCGTGTATCCATTCCTTTATGCATCTATATTCACTCCCCCGTTCCAGGGGCTGGTGGTTCACGGGGGCAGCGTGAGGCTGGGTACACAGGTGCGGGCGAGCTGTGTCTGAAAGGGACGGAGCGCCCTCTACTGGCCGTGGGGGAGCCCACATAGCCCAGCAAGCGCTGGACCCGCCTCTCCAGCACCCACTCCGGGTGTCAGTGCGCCCGGGTTGGGAACCGCAGCCTTTGAGGGCCCGCCGAAACCGGGCCTCTGCGGGCGGAGACGGGCTCCGGGGCGGCCCCGCGCGGCCAGGAGGTAGGCGACAGGGTGGAGTCTCCGGCGGGGGCGGCCGCGCAGCTCCACCTGTTGCCGCGTCGGAGCGCACAGGCAGAGCAAGGAAGAGCTCGGCGTGCGCTCCTGCACCCCCGCGCTGCCCTGCAGGGCGCGGCTGCGGAGAGGAGGGGACCTGGGGACAGTCCCGCCAAAGTAGAGCAGAGGGGCCGTCTTCCGGAGGTGAGACTCGAGCGGGGCCGCAATGCCGGCGCCCTCTGAATGGCAGGGTCTCGGGGAGAGGCCCTTAGCAGTTTGCTGGGCGTTGAGGGCGGGCCTGGGGGTGAGGGGTCTTGCAGCTGGTCTGCAGGGGTGAGGGACGAAGCCTGGTGGGCGCAAAATGTGTGGAGTGCACTGAGGCAGCCAAGTCCGGGTAGAGGAGATGGCACTCTCTGGGGGGTCAAGGTCTCCCGGCTTTGGCGTACCTCCGGCCCTGGTCCTCCGCAGCCTCTCCGGACCTGGCGCTGTCTGTGGCGCGCGCTTCTCTCGTGCGGAGCTGACACGTGCGGGCCAAGGACGCTCCCGCGCAGGGCGCAGAGGCCAAGGGCGTTCTGGGCCGGGGCCAGGCAAGGGAGGCTGCTCCGGGGAGATGCCCCTAACTTCCTCCGCGCTTTCATTCCAACCTCCCTTTCTGGTCTCCTCCTCCAGCCCCTCGGCCCGCGATCACCACTCGGCACGGTCCCCCGGTCGGTGCGCCCGCCCGGGACCTGTTCCAGCCTGTAAGACCCGACAGCGGGGCCGGTGACCCGAGGGGCGCGAGCGACGCCGCGACTGGGACGCAGCACCGCAGATCCACCTGCAGCGCCCGGACTGAGACCGGTCGTCTCGAGAAGTGATGGTCAAAGGGATGAAGGCCGCGGGGCTCCCCTTACCCTCCAGCCTGCGAAGCCCGCGGACCCTCGCTCCCGGGGACGCTCGCCCTCGCAGGTGTGCGTCCTGAACACGCGCCACGCCCCCTCCCCAATCTCAGCCGCGCCGGGCTCCGGGGCGGAAACGACCCCGCACCCTCGTGCCAAGCAGAAGCGGGCTCCGCACCTTCTCGCTCGAACCTTTGGCATTTGGGAGAACTAAGCGGCGGCGAGAAGCCGGATTCGAAACCAGGAGTCGGGGCGGCGGAGGGGGGTTGGTTCCACTGGAGCAGGAGCCGCGGGACCGGGAAGCGCCCAGCGGGCATGGGCGAGCCCGTGGTCGCGCGGCCGCGGACCCGCTGAGCGCTCGGCTGAGCCCCGACCTCCGGGGGGCCTGGGCGAGAGTCCGCCCGCCGTCGCGGCCGTCCGGCGCGGGGCTCCCCGGGGCCTGGCCATGGCCGGCCGGGGTTGCGGCTGCAGCTGCGGCCCGGGCCACCTGAACGAGGACAACGCGCGCTTCCTGCTGCTCGCGGCGCTCATCGTGCTGTACCTGCTGGGCGGCGCCGCGGTCTTCTCCGCGCTGGAGCTGGCGCACGAGCGCCAGGCCAAGCAGCGCTGGGAGGAGCGCCTGGCCAACTTCAGCCGCCGCCACAACCTGAGTCGCCAGGAGCTGCGCGGCTTCCTCCGCCACTACGAGGAAGCGACGGAGGCCGGCATCCGTATGGACAACACCCGTCCGCGCTGGGACTTCACCGGCGCCTTCTACTTCGTGGGCACCGTGGTGTCCACCATAGGTACGTGAGCCGCACTGGGGGGGTGGAGGGGCCGGAGGACTCGCCGGCATTTTCCTGGACGGGCGCTTCCAAGGGGAGGGCAGCTCTTCTCAACCTTGCTCGGCCGAGAACATCCACCGCTCGGCCAGCAGCACAGGTGTGAGCCGTTGCCTGTCCCGCGCGTGGTGTGGCTTCTGGGCTTCTGGAAATGGGATGCATTTCGCATCACCTGGGAGCTCGTTAAAACTGCAGCGTCTCAGCCCCTCCTCCGAGCTCCTGAGTCAGAATCTGCAGCTAACAAATCCCCCGCGGACGCCAGGGATCCGAAAATTGCAGACACTCCGCTGTGGGAGATTTTCAGTCTAGTTGAGGAGACATTGCTTGAGTTCGTAGAAATTTCCGGATAAAGCTGACAAACTGGGGCGGGAACCTATAAACGTTTACTGAGTTAATGCCACGCACCAGGCACTGGGTGGAGGGGGTGGGGCACAAACTTAAAAAGAATCTGCCCTTGACTTCAAGATTACAGAGGAAATCAGACTGAATACCAGACTGAAAGTTCATCAGAACGCTAATGAGGAGGGAAACTGTTTCCTACCTGGAAGAATGGGGGAGAAATGACCTTTGGGCTGAAGCCCATAGCATTAGGTATGACGTGGGTTTTGCATTCTGGAGGAGGAAAGACTTGCATTCAGGCACCCCATGAACTTGGTCTGTAGAGTAGGCTGTGAAAAGGGCCTCCTGGCTAATAGGGTGGAGCTGGGGGCCTTTACCGCCAGTTTAAGGAGCTAGACGCATCTAGAAGCAACCGGGAGCCATTGAAAGTTTTGGAGCAAGAGTGCAGCATGGCCACGGTCAGTTTGCCTTTATTGCCAGCAGGAGGAAAAAGCTGGGTGTCTTTGCGCCGTACCCCGAAAGAGTGTTCACCCTTGAAACATAATCGAGTTACAGGGGGTCTGGGGAAGATGCGGTGGAAATTTTGAAGAAAGAATAAAGCTGGCACAGAGGAGGGGGCTTTGAAAGGCATTGCTGAGAGCAAGTGGCTCCTGGCTGTCAGGGCCAGAACAGCAGCAAGGCTCACAGTGGCACATGTCACAGGGTGCAGGTGCTCTGCAACTGTGGCCCTGTGCTAGTGGGAGCGCTGTCAGTGAGGCGGGGTGACAAGGTGAACTTCCTTGAAGCTCCCACGCATGGTCGTCTTGGGTAGACGTTCTGCCAGAAGGAGCGCAAAGTATAACAGATCAGCTGCAGGCCTGATTAGGCAAGAAAGATTTCCCAAGGTCCGTCTGGAAGTGCAGGGTCGTAGCTAGGGAGTGGGAGGCGGAGAGGCCTGCAAGATTGGGGACCCGCAATGCTTTGTCTTACCCCCGCCCCACCCCCACCCCCCATCCCAGGTGGTGCTGCCCATCAGCAGGTCACTGAGGCACCACGCCGATTGGGTGTCTGGCACGAAAAACTGTCAGCATTCTCCATGATGTCCCGAACGCGGGCCTCGAGGGGGTAAAGGAGGAGTAATCCCCTCCACGGCTCTCTCCTCGCAGAACTGTCTAGCAGAATTCCCTAAATCCCTCATTGTGTCACCCGGTGTCTCTGAAGACAGGCCCAGAATTTCTATGCAGTGACAGCTTGGGTGAGCAAAGGGATCGGCAAGTTTGCTGTGGAGCTGCCCTGAGTCGGCTACATTTGCGTAGCAAGTGCAACAGAGTTTTTATTTAGGTCCAGTAGTTATGTGGGGTGGTTTTGTTGGGAGACTGGGGGGCTAAATCCTCCCCCACACCACACACCACTCGTTGGTTCTCCCCTTGGACATGGAGGTAGGAGGGTGCGGAGTGCATTTACAGGCTGACGAACATCAGTGCCTTAGGAACGGAGAATGTCTGGATGGGTGGGCTTGTCAGAGGTGCAAATGTAATAATGTAGCCGGCGGCTCAGAAGGAAGCCTGGACAGAGAGTCTGGAGCTGGAGCTGGAGCTGGAGCTGGCGCCTGTGACTTGCACAGGTGCCTGAGCCGTTCTGCACCCCATCCGTCTAGTCAGAGACGTCGGCAGAGCACTGCCGTGGTTCGGGCCACACTGTCGCTGCACAGTAGATGTTTGTCCTGTCTCGGGCTGTCCCCACCCCTAAGCCTGCCCCTTTTCTCAGGGTTCTCGTGAGGGCCAGTGAGCTCCTGTAAGGAGTGTTCTTTACAAAGCACAAAGCATGATACAAGTATAGGCTTATTTGTACATTTGTAACATTTCCTTTTAAACTGCTTTATTTGTTGCTGTTGTAATAACACACTTGCTACCCTTTACAGGAGTACATCTTAGGCACACACTGCTTGTGTGAATATGTCATGCAGCTGATCACTGCATCCCAGTCACACGTAATTTCAGCCAACACAGCTCCATGAGGCAGGTGTGGTCATCTCCATTTCATAGACCAGGGAACTAACGTTCATGATCTTCGCAAAATAAAAAGTCTAAAGAAGGTACGCTGTCTGTAATGCCATCACCCCAGGTTAATCACTGCTAACATTTTGGTGCGTGGCTTTCTGTTCTGTGTTCCCTACGCACCATTTATAGCTTGTATTTTAACCATAACATTACATGAGGGTGTTTTTCTTGTAAAAATTGGTTCCACTCTATTTTACTCTGCAAAGACTTTGAGGTAACACAACAAAAAAGCACACCATAAAATACTCCTAAAATGCAAACAGAACTTCATAATCAGGAGAAGGAAGAACACAGATAATGAGAAGGTGCTAGACAGGGGCTTTGTCTTAGCTTAGGTTTGCTCAGGAGTGGACTCCAAGGCAAGAATTTGAGTTCGAGTGGTTTATTGGCAGGTGCAAGGGAGACAGGCAGGTGCAGAAGGAAGTCAGTCCATACGGATAACACTGTTAGTCAGGAGCACAGTGGACAGTGGGTGCAGGCAGACCTCCAAGATATGCCGGGTTCAGCTCCAGACCACCACAATAAAGAGGTTCATAACTTTTTTTTTTGCTTGTAGAGGGTCTTGCCTTCCATTTGTAAAAAATGCAACACCTGTAAAGCACAATAAAGTGAAACAATAAAACGAGGTATACCTGGACCTAATCCCAAGTGAAGCTTGAAAACAGTGCAAAACCCATGCCTCAGAATGATCCCAAGCCAGGGAGCTACAGTGGGCTGTGTATACATCCACACCGGTCAGTGATTGGTTCAAAGCTGCATGGGGGCAGAGAAGCACAGCCTATAATTTCCAGACACTGCTGGCCTGATTTCTCATGGACAGCCCACAGGCAGCCCAGTGACAGAGATGCGGGCACCAGCCCTTCGAGGTCAGGCCAGTGTGACCAGACATGATAAAGGGGATCCAAGCAGCGTGGGCAAAGGGCCCGCAGTGACTATTCGAGCTGCAGATCTGGTTGCAAGCACCACAGCAGAGTCGTGGCCCAGCCTGGAGTTCCTCTCAGAGAAAAGGTCCCCCCCAGGGTTTTACATAGAGAACATGGTGTCGGACAGCAGCTGCTGTTCACAAACAACATGTTCTGGGGAAATGCAATGGAGGATTTCACGTAACTGTTGCCTCATCGAGGCCTTTGATTTAGAAGTCAGAGAAGAGTGGAAAACAGTCCTGCAGTTTCTCAAAAGGTTAAGCGCAGCGTTACCATGTGGCCCAGCAGCCCTGTCCCCGGGGTGTGCGTCCAACAGAACTGACGGCAGAGGCCCAACAGGTGTCTGCACGGCCGTGTCCGGTGTGGCATTGATCCCGGGGGCCAGAGGGGGAAAGGACCCAAGTGTTTATCAACACGGGAATGGATAAAAAACGTGTGTGTGCATGCAATGGCATCCTATCCAGACACAAAAAGGAATAAAATTTTGATGTGTCCTGTGACAGGGATGATAGACTGAAGACATTGTACTTAATGAAATAAGCCAGTCACAGAAGGACAATATTGCATAATTCCACTTACATGAGGTACTTGGAATAAGTGAATTCCACGGGGATGGAAAGTAGAACAGGTGACCAGGGGGCTGGGGGCAAAGGGGGAGGTTTGTTTACTGGGCAGGGTGTCTTTGTTGGGGGGGATGAAATGAGTTTGGGGTGTGCACAGTGCTTGGGCTTATACAACACAGTGACTGTGTGTAACGCCATTGAATTGTACACTTGCAAATGGTTAAAAAGTTGGAGCAGAATGTTAGGACACACTCAGGGATGTTGGTTTCGAAAGAGGCTGGTGATCAGACTTGAAGCAAGAGTAACTGTTCGGTTCTGCTCCAAAGAGACTGACAGCCCAGCTGATAAATGGCCCTTTCATAAACATCTTCTCTCAAATAGGCCTTTGTTGGGAGTCTGTTTCTGGGTTTGCCTCTGTATTTATAACTCAGCTTCTGTTCAGAAAGGATTTGAGGTCTTTTGCATATAATGTGGTAGTTGGGGCAGGCTTTAGGTTACTCCCAAATCTTAGTAGCTTAACGCAGTAAGAGTTCGCTTCACACACACAAAGCCCGCTGTGGGCGTGGTGACTCCCCAGTGCAGTGGTCTCCTGGGTGGCCCAGGTTTCCAGCCTTCTGTTGTTGGGGCCCCTCTTTATCAGCTCATGCCCCCAGAACCGCCCAGGAAGGGGGAGAAAGAGCTGAAGAGTGGAGCTCCAACAATTCACTGACCCCCGACCTGGAAGTGATGCAAGTCACCTCCATACACATTTCATTGGCCAAATCAAGTCACATGGCTATACCCAGCTTCAAGGACTTAGGGCACCACACTCCTTTGAGCTCCAGAAGGAGCTCGAGAAGTAGATGAGACACTATTGGGCCCTGGTTGGTGTGGCTCAGTGGATTGAATGCTGGCCTGTGAGTCAAAGGGTTGCTGGTTCGATGGATTCCCAATCAGGGCACACGCCTGGGTTGCAGGCCAGGTCTCCAGTAGGGGGCATGCAAGAGGCCACCACACACTGATGCTTCTCTCTCTCTCTTTCTACCTCCCTTCCCTTCTGTCTAAAAATAAAGTCTTAAAAAAAAAAAAAGACCATTGGTGAACAGCACAGACGCCTACCCACACATACATGAGGACAGTGCAGTAGAAAGCAGCGAGTAATGGATTTAAAACATCGGGGAGATGAGAAATGTAGCAGGATAGGACAGTTGAGCCACAGATTAAAACACAGAGATAGGCATGAAAAGGGCCTGTGCAATTGCCAAAAGTGGCTCTGAGTTTTGCAGTTGTCACAGTGTGAAGAGGCAAAGGCAACCACTAACTGGTTCCCCTTTCCAGGTTGGCAGCTGGGAAGACACCCAACTTTTCCAGACTTGAATAAGGGTTTCTCCTACAGACTGTCAGGAAGGGGAGTAGGTAATGTGGTGAGTGGTCTCCTCCACAGCCCCTGGGCCGTGAATGCGAGAGAGAGAGACCTCCCTCACCGCCAGCTGCTGTTCAGTGAAACCCCTCGGCCAGAGTGCAGCGCCCTGCAGGGCAAGTGTGCAGCTCCTGCTGGCGTGGTCCGGCATGGACACTTAGAATTTCCTTCCGGTGGTGCCCAGGCTTTGGTGTCCATGAGAACTCACCCGAGGGAAGTGTGGTGTTTGTCAAAATGCAGGTGTTGGGGTGGGGTGCCCTGCAGGGCTCCTGCTACAGTACATCTGAACTGAATTCGGAGCAGCTTCCCCAGAAGGCTCTGATGGAGACAGGACAGGCAGCGCGCTTGCGGCATGCGTGACCGGAGTGGGCACAGAGTTGGAACTGAGACCACCCCCAAGGGTGCTCACTGTTCACGGGTGGTCCACGAATCAGTGGCGTCAGCATTGCCTCAGACCCCATTGGAAGTGCAGGGTCTCAGGCCAAGCCCCGACCAGTCGAACCCACCTGCTCTTTAACTAACACCCAGGCAAGTCATAGGCACACTGAGTCCGTGGTTTGTGTTGTTACTGACTTGGACAGGAGCCCCTGTGCTTCAGAGCAGGGCCGCACTGGTGGTGGCTGGGCTCGAAGGGAGGGGAGACTTCCATCAGCCACCTCGAGACTGCCTCACCAGCTGGAGGTGTAGTAGGTGATCGGGGCGAGCACTGTCCAGAGGTGCAGCGGGCACAGGCTGAGAACGTGACTCTGCATGCATGGACCTGAGGTGCCCAGACACAAGAGACGCTAAGCCCCACCTCCACAGTCAGCCCCTCGGACAGACGACCAGATTTCAACAAGAGTTTAATTTGTTTTAATGAAGCAGGAAGAGTTACACTGGTGCCCCCGTTTGGTCCCAGGTGGGGCTGGTGACTTGGCCGTCCCTGCCCTGCAATACAAGGTTCTGGTCGGGTTCAGGAGCTGGGCCGGCAGGTGTGTGATTTGAGCTCATCAACGTGCAAACCTGTGTAGCACCGGACTGAATATTGTTTCCTGACTCTTTTGTTTTTCCTACATGGAAATAAGGCGGAGAAGGGAGCTTTTAAAATCGCACTAGATCACGTTTCAGACAGTAAAGGACTGGGAAACACCACTGCGCAGTATGAAGCCGTAAGCTGACATCAAACATAATGAGCAGGTTTCTGGAGCAAAGAGGACTCCCCACCGATGCATCAACGGAGGTCACACGTTAGCAGATGTCTTGCTTGTGGAATAGGCACTTTACACTTTACAAAACGTTTGCTTGTAAACCTTGGGAGATAGGTGGAGAAGTTGTCCCATTTCGGGGATAAGGAAACTGAGGTACAGAGAGCATAAATATCTTAATTAGGACAACACATTTTTAAAGTGGCAAAGTCAGAATTAAAAACAGATTTTGCTTTGTTTACCACTGTTGATAAAAGAAATACACATCTATTTTAGAAGATAGGGAATACATAAGAGCATATGAAAAAGAAAGTAGAAATCACCCATCATCCCACCATTCATCGAGAACCACTGTTAACAGTTTGGTGAAACATATTATATTGAATCTAAAGTGTTAAAAGATTTTTACCAAGTCCAAGATGAGTCATTATGTTAAATGCCATTAGGAAAGGAAAGAATGCTGCCAATTAAATTCTGAGATGCTAGCAACGGTGAGATCATCCTGATTTAAGAGATACTTTGACGCCAGGAAAAGGTACATTTAAAAATCCCTGAAATCATATTTTATATCTGATTGTTTTCCATATAACAGGAGCATATTGTTGTGATTAGGTCAACATTAATTTCATAATAGAATTTCTTTGATTTATGCTCACAATGATTAATTTTAAATATTTATTAAAAACAAAGTGTTTTTAGCAAAGTGCCCTGACTGATGTGGCTTAGTTGGTTGGGCATCAGCCGGCAAAGCTCAGGGTCGCCAGTTCGATTCCCAATCAGGGCACGTGCCTGGGTTGGGGATTCAGTCCCCCAATAGGGGCTCATGCGAGAGGTAGCTGATCAATGTCTCTCTCTCACAAGGATGTTTCTCTCCCCCTCTTTCTCCATCCCTTCTCCTCTCTTTAAAAATGCATACATACATACTTACATACTTGGAGTTCATCTTTCCCTCGTTTTCTGTCAGAACCAAGGCGGGCCGTGTTAATCACTGCGTACGTGTGTGTTTGATTTTAAGGATGTTTGCCCTCTGTCATGCAGCAGCCTACTCTTTACCCATTGTTGTTTTCTGTCTCGTGTTTATTATTCGATGCAGACTCGGGATGACAGAGGAAGACAGAGATGGTCTGGTTAGCCGAGTCTCAGGGCTTGTGTGAGATTGTAAGGTGTCCGATCCCTACGTCCAGGCATACGGAGCCTCGGGTCACCTGTCACGATATTTCAGTGCCCCCAAGGCTGCAGCGTCCCTCCCATCAGCATGACGACTAACGTGCTGCCCCCACCCCACCCCCCCGGGACTTTCCCTCTCCAGTTTGGACGGACGTATTTGATCCCAGAAGTCACTTCCCCATTCTGCCTGTGAGCCTTTGGCACGTTGGCCCCATTATCGGTGTCTCAGGTCTTCCCTCGTGCCCAGGATCCGATGAAGACCACGAGGCATTGACCTCACAGACTTCCGGGGCCATAGTTTTCACACGGCGCCCCAAAGGGCCCCGGGGTTCTCTGTGGAGCCTTAAGGGCAGTACTGAGGGCCAAGGGGAACCTTCAAGTTCTTATCTCTGATATCTATCTATCTATCTATCTATCTATCTATCTATCTATCTATCTACATGTGTCTAAAATATGTCTCCTACTCCATTACCTTTTTATTGACTACTAAATTGTTTTGGCTTGCAGAAAAGATTTTTATAGTGCCATACACAATCATTTTGGCAGGCAATTTTTTTCCCTATGGTTTCTCATAAATTCAGCTCTCCATGTTTGAGATAAATGTTCTTATTCATTCTTTGTTTAGCTCTACCTCCTCTCAAATTTTATTCAGAAAGACTGCTTTTTAAACGGTTTTGTGTGATTGGCTATATAATTATGCCCTGGTTTATTTCTAAAATTATCACATAATGATTTGAGAATGTGCATTTTCCAGAATTCTCTTTTCTGTTTGAATGTCTCTTTGTATCCTTGTATCTGTGTTTATTCCAGCTGGGTTTCTCTTCTGTTACAGAATTCTGGAGTGGGAGGGAACATAATCTCCAAACACACTCCAGGCCTAGTGAACACACCCGAAATAGCATTTCAGTCGTGTGTTTCAGAGCATGTGTTTCAGTGTTACTGATTGTATCATCTGCATGACTTATTTTATTAGTACCTTTGTTTATCTCTTAGTGTTTTATAGGTTAACATCTATTTTTTAATTTAGATATGATGTCATTCCTGCAATATATTAGAAGGTATTTCCTGTGTTTAGAGTATCTTTCTAGTTCTAATTTTTAGTAATTTTTAAGTAAACCACTTCATACATTTTTATATTCTTTTTTAAATCAGTTTTAAACTTTTCTCTTTGTAGGGACTTCAGCACACTTAACACTGAGTCTCATTTGTATTATCCTTTTGTGTTCTATACTCTTTATTTATTTTTATCTTTTTAATTCTGTACCTTCTGTTACAGTGGAATGGGTATCGCTTTTGACATTTAAGTGTGGTCAGAATGAAATTTATCAAAATGTCCCTGTGGATTAAACCAAAAAGACTTTAGTCATTATTGTTCCTGTTTAGGAATAAAATTAAGTTAAGACGGCTTTCTCCGGACGACACGGAGTCTTTTGTCCTCGGGTTCAGCCCCGTTCTGTCCGCACACCCCACCCCCACCTTGTCTCCCTGGTGCCTTGTTGTGCCCCGTTTGCTGGAAACACTTTCTGAAATGACATGTTTTCCATCGTTAGAACCTGCCTCGTGTCCTCGCATTGGGTAACGAGAGCACATCACCTCCACAAACCGTTGTCTCTTCAATGATCTTAACACGCTTCCTTTCAGCACCTTCCTCTTCAGTTCAGCCACGGCGTCTCCCCAAGCCTGGCTTCTGCTTTCAAACAGACAGTGACGACAAGGCGATTAGCCTTCAAGGAATTATTGGGTTGGCCAAAAAGTCTGTTTATTTCATTCCGAAAAATAGAAGACACATTTTTCATTTTCACCAATAACTTGATTGATTTGGATATTTTGAGTGTGTCGACTATCTCCTGCCATTGGCTTCTAGTGGGAAGAGGCCAGGGACGCTGCTAAACATCTTCCAATGCCTAAGACAGCCCCACAGCAAAGAATTGTTTGGCCAAAATGTCAATTGTACCAAGAAACTTCGCAAACCACCTTTGCACGCTGAATCAATCACAGCACCTTCTCCAAACACTGCATAAATCTTTTCTTTTCACTTTTCAGTTGTGTTTTTACCTTTCTTGAAATAATAAAGCATAATTACACCAAAAGCATTGCATGTTTTCTTCCATCTTTGATATTAAAATGGCTGCACAAATGTTCACCAATTTTGATACTTTTTCCCAATGCAAACTGATATGACAGCTGTCACAATACAATCTAACAAAATCATCTCGAGTGAAGTTAAAGACACCTAAGTGCCACTGGAGCCATCGTAGGGAAAAGAACTAAAACTTTTTGGCCAACTCAGTTCTTCCCTGCGTGGTCTGCAGTAACACCCCAGGTCACACCGAGTGGAGGGGCAGAAGCAGACGGCAGCTTTGTCCAGCAGCTTCAGGCCGACGTGATCCTTAGCACCCAGGAACTCGGGAGGAAAAGTCCCTGTGCTCCCAGAGCCCCCGGACGGAGCCCTCTAGGGCCCTGCAAGGTCACGTTCACACGCCATGCTTAACAAGAGTTCGGGTCAGGTCACACAGCCTCCTCTGGCGTGGGTGGCAAGGGGCGTGTTGAGGTGGCATGCAACTGGAAGAAGGGAACAATTCCCAGGATTGTTGGTAGACATGGAGGGAAGGAGGAAGAATGGCCCCCAGACACACACCTTTGGGGGTCCCATGGAGGAGGAGGCAGTTTTCAGAAACAAGGTTCCAAAGTGGGGGGTCCGCTGGAGGGATCCTGAGTTGAGTTTTGAAAGTGCTGAACTTACGCACCTGTGACATTATGACGGCTCTGAGGTCACCAGGCAATAGGAAATTTGCAGCCGCGTTATAGTCTTAGGAAACCAGCGCCGTATACCATCCGTGTTGACCAAAATGATGTTCCGTGGTGCATGACTGTCCGTTCAAAACAGATCTTCATCTAGGTTTCTCCTCGCTTGTGATAGCTGTCTCGGTTCAGCATCCGCTTTGGCATCCGGATGATACTGGCTGATGGAACGAGTGGGAAGTGCTCGCCTGTGGTCCCGAATGTCCTCCGGCTTTTGCCCTGGACTCATACACCTGTGGTGTGGATGCAATGAGAACAGCCTCCTGTTGGAGGGGTGTGTTGGCTGCTTCTGATTGTTTGCCAGTATAACAGCTCTAGAATGCAGAGTGTTGATTTTAATATTCGAAGTCTGAATTGTAACTATAGGTACTGCCAAATTTCCGAGCATTTAAAAATATAAACATTCTCAACCAATTAGCAAGAACTTTGTTATTCTCACAGCGACCGTGGGCTGTACTTTCCTCCTCCTTGTTACTGTACTAAACACTCTGGGTGCGTAACATTTCATCCTGTGAGGCAGGACTGTTACTTCCTTCATCCCGCGGGCGAGAAGGTGAAGCACAGAGGCGGAGACCTTGCCCAGAGTCCCCGCAGTGGTTGGACTTTGGTTAGAGCTTTGTTCAGCCATTGTGCCAGTTTGGGAGAGGAAATTAGCCTCTGAGATAGTCCAAAATCCAGTGAAAACTGGTATCAATGCCCAGGCCCTGATTCTGTATTTACATTTGCCATCAGTGATTTCTATTTGATGCTACTGAGGAACGCTTTTTGCAAGCTATTGTTTTGAAGAAACTGGCCTGCCCGGCTATGTGATAAGGGTGACGTCCAGATGTCCCACCCTGGCTTTGAACAGTGGACAGTGTCTCTTCTCCCTTCTTGTCTGCTTAGGACCAAACCCAGTGCCATCTCATATCAAATATAAAATTCAATTCATTTAGTCAGAATCGATTGAGTTCCTGCTTCGAGCCCAGCCTGACTGTAGGGGTTCTGGCCCCAGGTGCATGGGTGGACTTCACGAGGTCTGTACATTTGGATGAGAAAATGGTTCCCTCCCCATGTTTACCAAGTTCTAACCAAGCAGCTTCTAGGGTTTCCTTCAACAATGGATGTGGGTGGCAGCCCCGAGGTCTCGGGAGCAGCGCCTGCAGCTTCGTTACTGGTCAAAACCGCAGATGTATTCTTCTCACTTGATAGTGTGGCAGGTGCCACTGTGACATTTCCCCTTCGCTGCTACTTCAAAATTATGGTTGTCATTAGACCCGTTCTTGCTACTTAATGATTTTATAAAGTACCACATGTACTGCCCTGGCTGGTGTGGCTCAGTGGGTTGGGCGCTGTCCTGCGAACTGAAAGGTCACAGGTTCGATTCCCCGTCAGGGCACGTGCCCAGGTTGCAGGCCAGGTCCCCAGCTGGGGGCGTGTGAGAGGCAACCACTCAGTGCTTCTCTCCCTCTTTTTTTCCCTCCCTCCCCCTCTCTCTAAAAATAAATAAAAATAAAATCTTTTTACTTTTTAAAGAAGCTCATGGACTGTCCCAGGCATTTGTTTTGCAGTTTAGTAACTATCTTTTCATACGGTTGCTTTTGAAATCCTGTGCGTATCATTTCGTTCATTTATAAAACATTCTGAGAAGGGACCCAGCGGCTGCCCCAGGCTGCCCAAGGCCCCCGTAACAGACACAGTCATTGAGAACCATGCCCGCATCGGGCTGGTCTTGACTGCAGAGGAAAAGGGGAAGGACTCTGTGGCTGTCTCAGCTCCCTTTACAATTAGCAAAAGGTATCAATCCCCTGCAATTTGTAAACTGACTTAAAACACTCTTGCTCAGTCTCTGTACACAATCATGTCTTTTCCCGATGATTCGGAAGACTTGCCACAATGCGGCGGTGTCTGGAGGGCCGTGGTTGGGCAAGGCCACTGCCACGCTCCCTCACAGCAGGGGGCAGAAGCAAGTGTCCCGAGTACAGGGAGTTCTTCCTCCAGGGCGGCGAGCCTGGTTCAGAGCTGCCCCACCACCACCACCCCCGTTTCTCTGTCTCCGCGTTCCCAGCTGGTTATGGTGTCCCTCTGACTCCTGGGTCACCACCCGCCCCGCAGTCGCAGGCACCGTTGTAACCACAGACTCGGGGGTACATAATACTTCACGATTATTTAACACTACTTCTTGTCTAGTATTTTCATTAGAAGCTGCAACTTTGGCCAAAGGCAACATGCTTTCTTCAGCCCACAGGTGGTGATATGCTGATAAATGTTAAAGAACTAGATTTACAAAAAATCCCCCTGGTATGTAGTATTTGCCTATTTCCGTGGTGTAAATATTGCCAACAATGGCCAATTTCAAGCAGTGAGTATGAAGTCGTCGAAGGCAGGAGGCAGAGCAGAGATGTGCATCCCCAGCTCCAGTGAGCCTGTACCCACCAGCTCCAGGACACCCCCTTGGCCCACACAGTGTTTAAGAAACATTCAAATTAACCGTCAACTTTTAAAAATTAGACTTCCCAGTCAAAATCTAGATTTCTGATTTCTCTTCAAAAAATAGAAAATCTGGGTATTCTGTGTGCACATTCCTGCAACCCAGCCACTCCCAGAAGAGCTACAGACACTCCCTTTGGGGAGCTTCCTGGCCCCTCTCCACCTAGGCCGGGTGTCACCTGCCATTTATCACTGTGTGTGATGTCTTTCCTGTCCCCCTGGCTTGCCAGCTGAGCTTCCCCTTGTCTCTTTGAGATAGGAGAGCCAAGTGATCTCCTCCCCTGCTTCTATCAACAAAGAGTTGCAGAGTCGGGTCCCAGATGATTCAAATTTTTTAAATTGTTTCCAGTTTGATCACGAGGCAGTCAAGTTTCTCCTGATGGGGTGCATGAAGACATTCCGTTCTTGTTTTTTCCCTCTGGCTGTCCGGAATCAGTAGGCAAAGAGATTTTCTTTATTAGATGTTAACAAGAATCGAAGCAGAAAAGCGTGAACTTTGTGACAAGCTGGTTTCCCTACTGGGAATGAAGACCTGCTAGGTGGAAATGGTGGAAAGTGACAAGTTCGGAGGAAACTTAGTAGTTAGTGATGTAGCAAGCCCTGCATGCAGGGGAGGGGGGGCGGTGAGGAGAAAAGCCGTGTCTCTGAGACCTCGCTGGGTAGCTCCGTGGGCAATGATTCGGGATAACACCAAGCGTCTGGGAGAGCGGAGCGACCTGCCTGAAACCCAGAACGTGGGACAGCCCTGCCGGAGTGGTTGTACCATAAGTACCTCAGCGTTTATGGGTGGGTGGAAGGGACCATAAAGGTTATGAGGCATTTTAATGTCCTGTCCTTGGGCAGGGTGGGTGACGTGCTTCTCCATGGGACTTAGAAATACGAGGTTCAGGCACTAAGGGCAGGTCCTGAAGTTTCCGGCGCTGGAGGGTTGGGGGCAGTTGGTCAGAACAGCTCTGGGGCGGAGAATCGCATGTCAGACATACCTACTGAAACACTGGCAAGAGTGTCGTTTAGGAAGAAATCAGTTTCACGTTGGGAAAGGTTGCTCTGTTTTGAAAGGCACCTACTGTGCGCAGGGGCCTAAAGGAGGGTTTTCGGCGACTCCTCTGCAAACCTCTCCAGGGTCTTCCAAGCTCATCTTTGGGAGAAGGCGCCCACTCAGGGCTCCAGGACACCTGTCCGTCTAACTCTTCTTTCCAAGAGTGAACATGAACGGAAGAAAGGAGAGGGCTTTAAACGGATCGACGGGTTTACTACACACAGGTGTGGTAAAGCTGCAGTTAAAAAGCAGTTTGCGCGTGAAAGGTGAGGAAGGACAGACTCTGTCAAGGGGCTGTTTGGAGTGGCAGGAAATCTGGCCGGCAAGCAAAGAAGATGCACAGGACGCGAAATACCAATCCCAGGCTCTTCACACTTGAGTACTTTCATTTCTTTGTTAAAGAAGAATCAGGGTGCTTTCAAAGGGGGAGATGACGACGGACCAGACACCACTACTCAGGGGCCTGTTTCACACCGGACGCCAAACCTCCTTTGGGCAGTAGACACTGCAGGTCCGCGCCCCGATTATGATAATTCAGCTCGTCGAGCTCTTCAGAGTTGCCAGGCACCACACTGAGTACAGACTCGTGATCCTCCGTTTGGTCCTGGAAAAACCCTCTGCAGTAGGTGGTGAGGTCCCACTTCACAGATGAGGACACCGAGGCTGAGAAACTTACTCCCCGCCCCACAGCGGGCAGGAGGGGGAGCAGGTCCTTCTGACTCCAAAGCCCACACTTTTTCTAGATGGTCGTCTCACCTCGACAAGCATCCTGTTGTACCGTGAACTGATTCATGAGCTGAACAGAACACAGCCCCCAAAGCCTGGCGTAGAATTGCTGTTGTTCTCTTAGCACTGGTGAAGAAAAATTAATTCCAAGTCATGTCAGTGGAGATGACATCAGCCCCGTTTCCCCCGGATTTTATGCTTCCTCAATAGTGCCTTTTTTTTTAATAAAAGCTGTTACCATTGTCCTGATCTCACAGTGCCACCTATGCATTTCTAACAAGTCGAGGGTGAGTCAGGGAGAAGGTGGAGGCTTTGGGGCTGTATTCCAAGGCGCTCCGATCCCATGGGGGTGCCCAGCCCGGCATTAGTGTGGTGTGGGCATTGCTGCAGGGCTGCAGGGGCCCCACGGAGAGCAGACCGTGGCGAGTGCTGTGGTTTCCTGGGAGGATCCCCGGCTCCCATTCGCCTGCAGAGAAGGAACATCGTGACTGTCTCAGTTCCCTCCTCCCAGCAGACTCGAAGTTCTCCTCGCCCATGGGTGGCGCTTGCTGCCATATCCTCAGTGATGGAGCTCCGGAGTCCCACCCTAATCTTTCTCAGTGCCTTGCATGTGCGTAGTCCGTAACGGAACCGGCACCCCACTTTTGGAAATGCCGATTCATTGTACAGTTGGCCGGGCTGTATGGGGATTTGTTGGAATGGGGTGTGGGAGGTACCACTCTTCCCCACTGGCCTCCTTCTCCCGTTACCTCGTGTCCCCCAAATTCTGCTGCAGCCTTCCCTTCGTGGAGAAGGGCGGGAGTGCCCCAGTACCTCTCAGGATTTGTGTCTCTGGGGGACTGTGAGCTGCGTGTGCCCCTGGCTCCATTCTGTGCGTCCCCACCTAGCCCAGCGCCTGCCCAGGGTACGGCCACCCAGCAGCTGCCATCTGCAGACTAAGCAATCAGGTTACCCCGCCCACAACACACCCAGTGAACACCGCTGGAAGGAAAACAAGACAAAACTGCAAGAAAAGCTTTCCTTTAGGAAACAGAATGGGGAACAGACCGCCCACGATGTCATACCCACTTACCGCTTATTGGCACAGAGCACACACAGCCAGCATCCTGAGGGCCCAAGAGAGGAAGGTGAAACCAGGCTTTTAAAACACAGTTATCTGGGGAGAAAATACAATAAAGAAATAAACTGTTAAATAAAATAAGTAAAACAAACAATAAAAAATAAAAGACACTTGCCCTGGCTGCTGTGGCTCAGTGGATTCAGTGCCCACCTACGAAGCAAAGGGTCACCGGTTCGATTCCCAGTCAGGGCACATGCCTGAGTTGCAGTCCAGGTCCCCAGTAGGGGGCACTCAAAGGGCAACCACATATTGACATTTCTTTCTCTCCCTTCCCCTCTATCTAAAAATAAATAGAGTCTTTTAAAAAATAGAGAAAGATGGTTATCAAAACCCACTCAAACATAAACAAGGGGAATCCATCCCAAGGACCCGCACCCCTCGTTGTCCCGGGGCACAAACATGGCTACATCCTCGGGAGGGGACGAGGTTCTGGGTCTCCCACTCTGAGCCCCGTGTCTGCTGCACGTTGCCCTCCCTGCTGTCCCCGTGCCAGGCTCTAACTTGCGGTTCCGAGTAGACTTCACAGTTCAGATCCCGAGCACCTGGACATGCCTCCTGCGGGGTTCTCCCCATGCCCCCGGGGGTTCAGACGACGGCGGGTAATGCATGGGAGACAAAACTTTCCACGGGGTTGGTTGATTGACTGATTGATTTAAATGGCATGCACACGGGCACACTGAAGCGTCTGTGATTTCTTGCTGTGGTTGCTCAGGACGAAGTTTAGCTTTAAAGGGCTGCCAAGCAGATAACAATGGTGGGCTCGTGACCACATCAGAGTGACAGCCCTTTAGGAGCTGGGAAAGCCTCGCCCGATAGCTTTGGGGAGGGAGCGGGTCCGGACGATTGGCTTTTCTCGTCATCAAGATCTGACACTGAACCTTTAGAAAATAATGTTATACCCACCTTTGGAATTAAATGCTGAAAATCACCCGCTGTCTCACTAACCAGAGTTACTGCTTCCATTTCTGTGTGTTTCTTTCCAAACACTGCGTGTAAGGTTTTCCCTGGGTGGAGGCAAAACATTTCTAAAACGTGTGAGTCCACCCCTCCATCTCAGGTCTTGTTGGCGGTTCCCAGTTGCCCCCGGCGCTGCCGGGAACAGCTGCAAGTGGAGAGAGAGTAAGAATGGGCCTCTGTCCACCCTCATTCAGGTCAATGTCCTCGATAAATCCGATGCCCTCTGTTCCTTGTTAATGGCCTCTTCTTCCTAAAAGTTGAGTATATGACAAATGCCAAAAAAAGCCACCCCAGAATGTCCATTAGTTGGGTTCCAGGAAATGGAGAATTGATTCATCCATATGAATTATTGGAAAGATTGCTCCTGGCTCAACAGGTGGCCTTGTACGTATCATCGAGTTTTCTGTTGGAAACAGCTGGGAGGAAAATGCCGATTGCTGGGCGGGTTGTGGGGACCCTAGGTGACAGGCATTTGCTGTCACAGAACAAAGCTAACCCCGGGTGACCAAAGCAGCAAGTCAGCGCTTGTGAAGCCTGACCTCCCAGCAGCAGAGTGCGGGACAGCAGGGCGTGATGTTCCAAGGGTTTATTCAGAAGGATTTGGAACATCTGCTTAAGAGAGAAAGTTCCAGGCTGCGTTTCTCCTACCGGACAAACATGCTGATTCCTTCCCGGGGGGGGGGGGGGGCGAGTCGTCCCCACGGCCCAAAAATTGTGCATCTGTGATGTGGACGCAGCAGAACAGTCTCTCCCCTCCGTCGGGTTTCCTTCTCTGACAGGTAGCTGCACCTGCCTCGGAAGCCTCCTTGAGCTGTTCCTCTGTTCGTACGTTACCTAAGGCTTGTGCTTGTCCTGCTTTTCCCCTGGCAACTGAGCATCACACTTGATTTGCTTTTCCTGCGTCAGGAAGTCTCTGAGGGCTGGGAGAAAGTCTCTTTGGAGTGAAGCCTAGCGCAGCGTGGGTAGTATCAGCTACAGTTGGATGATTCGGGGTCGGCCCCAGGAAGTAGACTAAATGGGACTAGAAGGAGCTTCCTGTAGAAACCCTGATGCACAGAAATGTGTTCACTTTTTACCCCCTGGAACCCCATAGGAGGGGTCATAGCTGCATTTTGGGGACTTAATTTCTTGTTGATTGACCCATTCTCAAGCCTCGGTGTTGGTTGACCCCTAATGAATTGAAACTGGAAGCAGATTCTGCATGATGAAATATACTTAATAAGCCTCTTTTCGAGCTGGAGCTGGTTGACCTCCAAGACATGGGGCTTTGCTATTCCTGGAGAGAAAATTACGTTCATCAGAGAACACAAAGGTGTGGTTGGCCCAAGGTTATCGGGCAGGCTTCTCTGCCTGGGTCTGCGCACTGAACAAAGAAAAACAGTAATTTCGTCAAATTAGTGGTGGTTATTTTCGTAGCCTTGATTGTCCTCATGCAACAGCTGAATGATTCTGAAAAATACTCCGAAATGCTGCCACCTTGCAAATCGCACTTGTGTCCCGGGTTAGACAGTTCCCTGGGGCAGATGCCGCCACTTCCTGTGCAAGCAGGTGGGCTGCGGCTTAACAAGGGAGTTACCGTGCAAGGCGCCGCACCCCTCTGGGCCTCGGTTTCCCCGTCTGTGACGGGGGGTGGGATGGGAGGGGTAACACCTCGCCAAGCTGCACTGAGGACTAAAGGAACGACACAGGCAAGGCGTTTAGAACCACGCCCACTACTCTGCCACAGGGTCCCCATTGCACTTTCTCACTGAAATCGCGGAACAGGCAGGGGACGGTTTTTTCTGGAATCTTGTTCACAAGTCCTCTCTACTTTCCACTCTAATGCCTTGCCCCGTATCAGCGATCCCAGGAAGGATGTCTTGACTTCGGATGGGGCAGGGTCTCCTTCAAGGGTGGCCCCTGGAAGCGGACTCCTCTGGGTACCTCTGGGTGCTCCACTGATTCCGGCTAAAGGCGGGCGTGTCCTCCTGTGGTTGGTGCCCCTGACAGTGGCTACCAGCGCAGAGGAAGCCCACGGGATGCCAGACTGCCCAGGCCTTCTGTTTACTAGTGTATCTTCATTTAGGGACGAGGAAACTGAGGCTTAGTAGGATTAAGGGAAAACTCTTGCATTTGCTCAGATGCCTGGGGGCAAAGGCAGTTCAGTCCTGGATGGTGGGCCTGCAGAATCCGTCCGTCATCTCAACCCCCACCCTCTTCCCCTGCCCCCCCTGCCACACCCACACGCAGGATGCTGTCTTCTCTCCCAGCCCCTGCCAGGTTATTGGGAATCCGTGACAGGGACAGTGTGTTCTGCCCCGTGTGTCCTGCCCCCCCGTCAAATGCCTCCCTTACCTGCATACAGCCCCTGGGAACTGAAGCTTTTCCTTGGGGCTTCTAAGTCAGCACGGCCTGTTTTATTAGGGGTTCACATGGACTTTCGTTCTTCCTTTGGTTGCTGTTTTCCTGTTGAACCAGAAAGTTTCAGTCTAAGGTGTTAGACATGGGAGGTTGGGGAACTTTAGCTTCATTAACCCTTTGGGAATTTTAACGGCAACCTGGTTATTTTATCCAGGAGCTTTTCCCATGGGGGAAAAATGCATGGATTTTTAGAGATTGAGAAATACCGGGAAACCCGAGCACACTGCCCACCGCAGGGAGAGAATGGCGTCCTCTTCCCCCCTTGGACCAGCGAGGCCCCTGAGCGCCTCTCCTGCTCCTGAAGACCTCTCCGTTCTCCCTAGCAGACGTGAAGTGTGGATCTCATCCGGATACTGAAGGTCGACCTCTGAGCTTCCTTGACCTTGACTTTGTCTCTGCGTGTAGCTGGTAGGCAGGCGTCCGCTCTTGCTCTCTGACATCTCACCTCACTCCAGTCCCGGTCTCCCTCTTCACTGAACCCCCTACTCCTGGGCTCTGCGGAGAGAAAGCCTCCCCCAACCGCGTGCCTCCTCTTCCAGCTGCGGGCCCCGCCCTCCGTTTTTCTGGGGGGGTCAGGAACTGCATCACTTCAGAGCCTTGCCCCTGCACCCTTTTCTCCCTTAAAGCAGTAATGATAGATATACATATATTTTTTAAATTTTTTTATGGAGACTATTTTAAATCCATTGTTCTCCAGGCCATTCTTGGATGAGGTTCTGGAAGCCTTGCTGAAAACACAAGTTCTCCAAAGGCCATTCTCTCCCCTGGCACAGCAAGAGCCCAGGTGGCAGCGAGACACATCGACCTTGTCACCGCATGTGTCACCGTGTTTGGGGACGCCTGTGATTTGCTTGATAATTTTATCCTTTTTTATTTCTTTAAAGCCTCTCTGTGATAACCTGAATAATCCTGCCAGAACTGTTTTGGAAGGGCGGCAGTTATCCTGTTTCCGTCCTGGGCCCCGTGTCTTTGTGGGACGACCAGAGGCTCTGCCCTGTTCTTTTGCCCAGAAGGGCAGGGGAGTCCCAAGGAATCCCTCTGCTTGTTAGGTGGTGTCATCTTGAACTTGGGAATCGACTGCTTCCCAACTCCATTTTGCTGTTTACATGTCAGAGGTTGGGTTTGGGTCCATCTGTACCCCCAAGACCTTCAACTGCTCTCCTTTCTGTTCTTCTGGTCCTCAAGCTCTTTCCTGCTTCCAGCCCTTTGGACTCGCCTCTTTCAGCCCCACCTGAAGGCGTGAGAGCTTCTCTTAACGCCTCTGGGGAAGTAACTGTCCCCTCATTCATCTCTTCTATGCCCTCACCCGAAATGAGGGACATGAGAGGCCACACTTGTCCCTTCCTTTTCATATTCAGAATAAAGCAAGTGGCAGAACAGCCGGTGTTGGAGCAACACGAGTCCTCACACATTTGGTGGGGAAACTCTGTGCGTGCAGGCGAGGCGCCGCCCACCTGCGGCTCTGGATTGGCTGCAGTTGAGGGCGATAGTGCGCTCAGGGGTTAGACTCTCAGGCTTGGGGCTCTAGCTACAAAATCCATTGCCTTCCGAAATCCAATCTTTCATTTTCTTTATTGAAGGCCAACACCAAACAAACAGGGAAGGCAGCAATTTGTGTCCAGAGAGAACCAGAAACAAGGGCTCCATTTATTTTGTAAGTTCTTCACCTCTAAGGAAAATGTTCTGGTTAAAAGAATGATAATAACTGCGTTTCCTGGGGAAGCTGAACGACATGACAAACCCCCACGTGGGGCTGTGGCGAGGGCAGGGGCAGAGGAGGAGCTGCTCGGTGTGCACAGGACCCGGCACGGGGCAGAGCTGGCCGGGCAGGCCGTGCGGCGGGTGGGAGGCCAGCCCTCATTGGGGCTGGTCCTTGGGTGTCTGGGTCTGTCGTACAAGTCAGCCCTGTGACCTGGGCACTCCACCTCTCTGGGTTTCAGATCCTTTGTCTGATAAAGTAGAAAATTCTGTCAGAACAGCACTGCTTAGCTCTGTCCCACCCAACAAATTGCTTCCGATGTGAAAAAATGTAACAGTGCCCTGGCCAGGTGGCTCAGTTGGTTAGAGTCTCACCCCGTAGACCAGAAGGCTGCAGGTTTGATTCCTGGGCACATGCCTACGTTGTGGGTTGGTTCCTGGTTGGGGCCAGTATGAGAGATAACCAATCAACATTTCCCATTCTCTCCCTTCCTCTCTCTCTAAAATCAATAGAAAACCATATCTTTGGGCGAGGATTAAAAGAAATTGTAAATAAAATAAGCTGTCTATATACATAATTTCAAAAGGAGGAGAAGCGGGGAGAAGGTACAGAGAATAAGTAGCATAGATGGTAGGTAGGAAATAGGAGGAGGGTAAGAATAGTATGGGAAATGTAGAAGCCAAAGAACTTATATGTACAACCCACGGACATGAACTAAAGGAGGGGAATGCGGGAGGGGGGTGTGCAGGGCAGAGGGGAATAAAAAAATAAAATTGTGCAAAAAAAGTTTGTTTGTGAATAAATAGGAATTAGGTTCTAGGCTGAATAAAGCAGACAGGTTTTCCGCACAGGGGGAGCCACTGGGATGTTGGAAGGTCGTTCCAAAGGCAGACAGTTGTTCAAGGTGCTGACGGTGCCACCCTTCACGGGACATCTAGCCTCCCGGCCCCGCCCACAGTTGGCCAAACCCTGTGCCAGCCAGTCCACCTGCCAAACACCTGCTTCTGAATGCCCTGCAGGGGCAGGGCTGCCCCTGCTGAGGACCCTGCCCTCAGGGACCCCCGGGTGTCCTGGGGATTTTGTTTGAGCCCCTCTGATCCAGGAGCTCTGGGCTGGGCCTAGAGTCTGCACTCACCTCAGACTTCCAGGTGCTGCTGCTGGCCTGAGACCACACGTCTGAGAGACCGACGTGGCACCTTCTTGCACTGAGCATCTGTGGACTCAGGGCACGTCTCTCAAGTGCAGGTGTCTCTGACAACCACCTGCTTTCAAGTCTCCTGCAGCCCCTGTCAAGGATGTAAGTCCCAGAGCCTCCCCCAAACGTCTTGAATCAGGAAGTCCTTACATTCGCATTTCAGCACTTCCCCAAATGTTGCCTCCAAACCGCTTGGGCTGAGGACCCCCGAGCTCATATCTGGATGTCTCTGCATCTTGAAGATCTTTAGGAACAAAGACCCGTTCTCTGTCCAGATCTCAGATGCTGTCAAGTCAAAAGCCTGTCCTGGGACATCAGATGGAGGTTGCAAAATCGGCCACTCCTCTGAGGTTCTGCATGTTCTAGACTTTTCTGCGTTTATTTATTCTTTTCTGAATGTATGTTACATTTCACATACACGCAGATGAGAAGCGCTCACGTCAAGGGCTTTCGTAGAGAAGGTCAGTTGGCCAGGGAGAGCGCGAGGGGAATTATTATTTACTACTCAGACCCAATTATCCTTAATTTCCCAGCTGTGCCGCCCTTTTTCCGGGAGCTTCATTTATTCTAATCTTCTGGTGGGGGAGGGGACTGCAAAAGTCACAGTGAAATGCCTCCTTTTATTGTCCTGAAGCCAGAGGCTTTCGGCCTGCACCACTTTGGCAAAGCCATCAAGAGCATCTGGAGAAGGGGCCGAGGGTTCTCTCTCTCCCCCTCCCACCCTCCCCTCCCCGCCCTCTCTCTCTGGGCGGAGAATGTCCCCCTTCTCCCTCACCGCAGCCTCAGAGCCCCAGGTGGCTCAGCCACAGCAATAAAGCCACCTCTGCTCCGTACAGAGCAGTTGACTACCATATTACAGTTAAGCCTTCTGAGAACATTTTTACATAAATAAATAAGGCTTCTGATTCCCTCCTCACCTTCTCTAGAAATCTCCTGGCCCCACCCCATTCAGCCCTCACAGGGTCGGGGTGTGGGTTGGGGCTGGGCTCTCAACTCTGAAATAGACTCCACCCCTCCAGGGGAAGTGGGGCCCCAGGAGCCCAGGCCAGGGGTTCAGCAAATCAGCCTCAGGGCTGGCTCCGCCCTGACCTTGTACCCTGATTCCAGAATCAGAACGTTGGTCTTTTGGCCAAGCCTCAGCCCCAGCCCCATTTCTGATGCCTGTTCTTCCTGGCCCTCCTGCCGACATCCTGTCTGCTTGTTCCTCTGTTCTCCGCATCTGGTCTCTTTCTGATCCTCCTTCCACCGCCAGGTGTTCAGCAGGCCGTCCTCCTGCTCACCTCCAAGGGGGCCACTCGCAGCGTGTTCTGTGGGCACAGCTGTGCTCCTGACCACCAGACACGGCTGCATCGAAACTTCAAAAAAAATGAAGCAGATGGTTTGCCCCACTGTGTGTGTCCTCGCTCCCCCACCTGTGGTCCGTGAAGTAAGCCCGAGCTTTCGGGACCGGCTGAGCAATGCAGTCGATTAATTCTGGATGCTGGGTCGTTCTTCGGATATCTGAGAGGATCTGCTCAGTCCTTCCGTGGCGCCCCTAAAAATACGTAGACACGGATGATCTGTCCTTTATCCAACTTCTCAGTAAATCTTATCAGTGGGAAAAAGGATGCAAAGGGAACTGGCAACAGTGAACACTGCACATGATAAAATTTGTCACAAATGAGAAAGTGAAGAATGCAAACCTGTTGGTAAAATGGAGAAGTGCAACGGTCACCCTGGGAGAAATTAGATGTGGTAGAAAAGGAACCCACACAGAATAAAACCAGCAGAAGGAAAAATGTCATGCGGTAAAACTGATTAAAAAAAAAACAGTAGCAGCATCAAATAATCTCGGCAAAGTCTGGATTGCAAGATCTGACCACAAATGGATCTCGCCTGAAACATGGTTTTGTGCAAACTCAGATGGTCAGAAGTCAGGATGGACAGACAAAAAAGAATTGATGAGTCCCATCTTTGGTAATTTTTAATAGAAAAAATGCTAGTGAAAAGAAATGTGTAAGATGGGGAAGTACAGTAAACCATTCCCTGCACAGAATGGAAAATTGTTGAGGGATTAAAGCCATTTAGGATGGGATTCACTGAGAAAAATACTTTCTCAATGAAATGTTTCAGTGTTGGTAAAATTCAGACTAAAATTTATATATTCATAAAGACAGAGTTAAAAAAACATGTTTTAAAGCAAAGCGCCAGCTGGGTCAAATAGAGTCTCCAAAAGACAGGGGGCCCAACTGCGGCGTGCCACCTGGATGACCAAATGCCATCTGTGGCAGGACCCTGGGTCAGGACCAGCGCTGCGTTGGAGGAAAAATGGGTGAAATCTGCATGAAGTTTCAGGTCAGTGAATAGTGACGTACCAAAGTCGGCTTTGCGTTTTGATAAGTGTGTCTTGGTGTGAGTTCGGCCCCCCCCCCCCCGGAGTTCCCCAGCTGTGTCCTGAAACCGGCCCCAGGCAGGTAGTGAAGGAGGGAGAGGCAGACCAGTCCCCAGTGATGAGTGGCGGGCCGGGCTCCACGAGCAAGGGAACCTACTTACCAGGTGCGTCTTGGTCGAAACAAAGTGAGTCCCATCAAGCACTGCGTAACGTCATCTCTATCAGCGAGGGACCGTGTACAATGTGTGACGGCTGTGGTTACACAGCCATCATAATCTCCTTAAGACTATGACGGAGCTGACTATCTTGGGAGAAATGGAAGCCTGTGTGGTTCAGGAGGAGTCTCTTCCTCCGATGGGATGAGTGTCCCTGGGACTTGGCCCCAGGTTCCCTGTCACTCACAGCAGCTCAGTTCCTAGTGCACAGGTGACGTCCCAGTCTATCAGCTCAGCACAGCCTGTGCCCCTGGTACGACACCTTCAGAGGGTGCGCAGCCCTCCCAGGTCCGGCTGGGTGGTCCCCAGAGAACATTGCTGTAAATTCTGCGTTGGGGACCTCGGACCCTGTACAAGGACACAGGTCCACGGGAGCTACCTTAACAAGTACTCAGTGCCACCGCCGCTTTAGTGAAAGCTCTGTGGTCGTGTGGGGCCAGCTGGTCCCAGTATTTGGGAAATATCTCTGGTCGTACTGATGTGAAGCATAGATGAGTCACTTCCCCCATCAGCTCAGTGCCAGCAAGGGTCCCTTGCGCCTGACAGGGTCAGTGGAACCAAAACCAGACTTCCAGTGTCTAATGTTGAATTCTCCGTCCTACACCCGCTCCATGTAAAACACCCCTTTTTTCGTTCAGTGAAATCCCCAAAGTTCCTCAATCTGACCACCACCCAGACATGCAGTAACCACAGCCATGTTGCACAACATGTTCCTTTATCGCCCCGTCTTGATTTATTTGTGTGTCTATTGTATTTTCCCCATTACTATTTGTCCCCCATGTACCCCCTTTCCTGCAATCACCACCCTGTTGTCCGTGTCCATGAGTCCTTTTTCCTTTTTGCTCAGTCCCTCCACCCCCTAACCACCCCCCCCCAGCTGTCATCTGCTCTCCATCTACGAGTCTGCCTCTATTTTGCTTGTTAGTTTAATTTGTTCATTAGATTCCACATGTGTGAAATCATATGCTATTTGTCTTGTGGTGATTGGCTTATTTCACTTAGCATAATGTTGTCCAGGTCTGTCCATATTGTGGCAAAAGGAAAATTTTTCTTTTTTTTTTTCACAGTCCAGTAGAATTCCGTTGTGTAAATGTCCCACAGTGGTTTTATCCGCCCAGCCACTGATGGACGCGTGGGCTCCTTCTGTGTCTTGGAGACTGTAAATAGCGCCGCAGTGAACACAGGGTGCTTGTGTTCTTTCACATTAGTGTTTGGGTTTCTTCAGATACATTCCCAGAAGTGGGATCCCTGACTCATAAGGAAGTTCCATGTTTAACTTTGTGACGTATCCCCAGTGGCTGCAGCAGTCTGCATTCCTGCGCACCTGGACTTCTCGTTCCCACTGATCCTCAGGCCGCCTTTCGCTCCCTCCTGATGGTCACTGTCACGGCGACCTGCGCTCTGCCCAGCCAGCTTCTGCCTGTCCTTTCTGTCAGTCCGGCCCGCCTCCCCGGGCACCGACAGCTGCAGGGTTCTGTGGTTCTGTTTCTGACCCCGCTGTCAGAAGGGGGCGGGGAGGGCTGTGGGACAGTGTCTGTAAGGTCTGCAGTCGAGTGCAGGGACGTCCCAGTCCTTCGCACTCATTCCCACCCACTCCCGACTCACCCAGAGCAGCTTCCAGCGCTGCAGGCTCTGCCCGTGGTCAGTGCCTGGACAGGTGCGCCTTTTTTAGCTTTTATATCTTGTTTTCACTGCACCTTGTCCATGTTTAGATACACAGTTACTTCCCTCTGGGTTGCAGTTGCCTGCTGTCTTCAGTAAGTAGGTGCCGTGCAGGTGCGTAGCCAGGGGGCGGGGCGGGGCGATGGGTTAGACCACACAGCCCTGCTGGGTGCTGTGCCGTGCCATCTGTCTTTGTGGAAGTGTGCACCTGACACCCACCCACTGATGAAACTGAGATTTCCTGATGGTGCGTTTCTCAGAATGTGTCCCTGTCCCTAAGCCACTCATGCCTAGTTGTCCACACCCACCCACCAGATCTTAAAGGGTTATATGGAGGCCCTAACTGGGTTCAGTCACATACCCAGGGGGCCTCACTGGGATGTATGAGGTCACATTGCTCTCCAGGTTGTGTCCTTGGAGCAGCTTCTGGGGCAGGGTAGGGTGGGGGTGACACAGCAGAAAGCACATCCCACAGCACGGAAGGGGTGGGGGGCCTCCAGGCATCTGGTCCAGCCTGTGGGTCAAACCAGCAGTGGAGTCCTGTTGGCCTTCCCCAGACGTGGTAACGTGAGATGTTAACTTTAGGGGAAGCTGGGTTAGGGGCAGGCAGGGACTTTCTGTGTTCTCTCTGCAACTTCTCTTTAGGTCTAAAAATTATTCCCCCAAATACAGTGGGATCAAAATGCCCTGGACAAAGGAAAAAAAAATAACAAAATCCCCACCGCAGCCCTGACCAGTGTGGCTCAATTGCTTGGATGTTGTCCCATGAAGCAGAATGTCACCGGGTGAATCCCCGGTCAGGGCACCATGCCTGGGTTGCAGCCAGGGCGTGTGTGAGAGGTGACGGATGGATGTTTCTCTCCCACGTCAATGTTTCTCTCCCTCTTGTTCTCCCTCCCTCCCCCTCTCTCTACAAATAAACTCTTCATTACAAAATTCCTGCTACGCTCTCCCGGAACTCTGTGTCTCCCTTTGCAGTGCAGCCCCTTGGTTGGGCCGCATCGATTTATTTCCAGGGAATTACGCCAGATGCACACCGGCCCCTCAGCGCCTCTTTGTCGACTTCTGTGCATGGCCGGTCTCTGGCACCTGCCCTCGGCTCTCCCCAGTTCCAGACAGCTTCCTCTTGTTCATCCCTGGAGCCGGCTCCTTTGGGCCATCCCCACCCCAGCCCTGCCCCCAGGGGGCACCAGGGCACTCCAACTTGGCTGCACACTGGCCTCCCATGAGGAGTTTTAACCATCCCTGGTGCCCAGAGACTTCGATTTAAGTGGTCTGCGTCATGACCTGGGCTTCTGGATTTTAAAAACCTCCCCAGGGGATTCAAATGCGTGGCCAAGTTTGAGAACCACTGGTGCCATCTAACTAATGCTATTAGTCTTTGAAGAGCCTGGTTGAGCCCAGCCTTCATTACAGCAGCCTTCTGTCTTCATTCT